CACCCCCGTCAGATATTTTATATTTGTAGAAGTTGGAGATATTAAATTTATAATATTTATTAAATAAAATATAATTAGAAGTCAGATATTAGAAGCTTTTTATATTATAAATCTAATATAAAAAATAATTAGTAATATTTCCAACTACTAGACTAGAAAAATTTAAAATATATAAATTTTCATTATCTGATTTTATTTTATAAAAAGTAATATATTAAGCAGATATCTCTGCTATTTATTTTATAAATACTACTACTTTAGAATTATCTTTTAAATCTGATTTTTTATTATATTTATTATTACTTTTTTTATAGAACCAGATATTTTATATATACAGAATCCAACTCACTGGGCGTAATTTAAAATTAATATACTAATATTTTAATATTTTATAATTTTTTAATTTATAATATTTATAATTATTATTAGTATTTATTAATCTCTTTCATATTTTTACAGTATAATCTTTAATTAAAACATTTTTTTTAGAAAAATAATTATCTTCTATTAATTTTTAATAATATTAGGCTTATTAAACAGATTCTAATTCTTATTTTTATTAATAATAGTAGTATTAAATTTTTTTATTTTAGATTTTTTATACTTCTCTAGAATATTTTTATATAATTTATAAAATTATTCTTTTATATAAATTTAACCTGTGTTTCTAGGCATTAAATATTCTATAATTAATATTTATATAAGAAATTCGGACTACAGCTTATATATTATTAGAAAACTTATTATAAATAGAAAGATTAAATAGTCAAGCTTTATAATTATATTATATATTTTTATAAAATTATTAATATATTAATATATAATAAAGTAATCAGAACGTATGTCTCTTACTAATTTTATAATTACTAATTAATATTTTATAACACCGTGGCCCAGCACGATAGAGTAAATTAATTTAAATATATTATTAATATATTTTTTATTTTTTTTAAATTTTTTAAATTATTTTTCTACTTCTTCTTCCAGCTGTCCGATGAGATAATTAGTTACTACTATTAAATAATTATACCACGCTGCATATTTTGCGTGTGTGATAGCAAATCTAGATAACTTCAGATTAATCAGATTTTTTAAACTAATATTTCTAAATATATATTTTAAATAGAACTTCTAATTAATATAATTAGAACATTTCTTCAATAAAATTAATAATCTAGATAAATCTTTCAGAGAGATCATTAGTAATCTATTTATTTAAATAATTATTTTTATAGAAATTATTTAAATCAGAGATATTTTTTTAAATATAATATTTTATGTTGAAACGACGTTTTAGGTCAATACTGAAGTCGTTGAAAACGCTTGATTCTTCGCTATCTAGGCGCGCTCGGAGGAGCAGTTGAAGTTACGGAGTTCGGGTCACGTGACCTCGACTACTAGTAATCTACTGAGATTACGTTCCAACATTTTATCCCACCACATATACTATGATATTAAATTAATATATTTGATATAAATAGATCTGATAAATAGTATATCCCTTAGTGCAAAGAAGTGTTTTTATTAGATATTATAACTACTAAAATTAATATATTTTTATTTATTATCTTTGGTGGCTGTAAGTTCTCTATTTTGTTTAAAATCAAAAACTGTGTTCTAATAAGTCTAAATAACTTCATGGTAGAGAGGCCGGGCTTATAATCTATTCAAATACTACAGGCGGAAGAAACGAAAGTGAAGAATATAGTAAAAGTATATTATATTACTATCTAGAAACACGCAGCGCAACCAGCGCGAAGAGGCGCTTGGTGGGCGGCCTGAGCGCAGCCACATGACTGAGCCTACAGGGTTACTGCCTCAACATTAAATCAGCTACAGCGCTCCTGTCCCTGTACCATATTTGCATTATATGACTATACAGCTCTTTTTTGGCTGCCACCGTAGCACATCAACGTGGGATTTTCTGCGAGTTACGCCTCAAGCCATCTCCAGACTGATATGTGGCTATCTTTTCCTGATCAGGAAGCCCACTTCCTCCTACCCGATCGGGGAATACACCTTACAGCTCCAGCCTGCATGTATCATTTCATGCATAGAATCAGTCACAGACAACACATTTATTCTATATCCGTGTCTATCCCAACGCCGACCTTTGAAAGCACCAGATCATTAATCATTCAAGCAGAAGCACAATGTCCACCATCCACTCTCAAATCCGTGCCTGTCATGAACCCGCTGCCATCAGCAAGCATATATACTGTTGGTGCCTTGAAGTCCTCTGGGACACCGAGGCGGCCTAGCAGCGCACCACGCATCCAGGTCTCTTCGACCTCGGGCTTCTCCTGAAGAAGGGCATCGGTCATTGCAGTGCGGATGTACTGGTTGTATAATTAGGATCGCGTATACTATTCCTGTGAGGAGGATGGTACATACTCCTGCTGATAAAGTGTTCACACGGATGCCGTACTGACCCCATTCTTGCGCCACCGAGCGGCACATCTGGTGCACAGCGGCCTTGGAGGAGTTGTATGCGGTGCAAGTTAATCCCTATGGGCCATTATTAGGTTTAATCCCACACAAAATTGAAGAGAAGACGTACCCGATTGGCGATTTGACCCGACATGGAAGCAATCATCCCAATGCTTCCTGGGATGTTTTGCTCCTTGAAGATGCGAGCGCAATGTTTAGCGGGAATGAATGTTCCGATCACGCTGAAGAGTCAGTTTCTATCGTACGTCCTGGAGCTCAGCGGTGATCGCTCACTTCACATCCAACATCTTCTTCCACATATCAACTGGGTAGTCTAAGGCAGGCACCATCTGCTGGATACCAGCACAGGTCACCGCTCCGCGCAGGGGCATACCCCGGCTCATGCTCTCAGCGGCAACTTGCTTGAGGATCTGCTCGGTCGACTGCTCATCTGTAATGTCGCACTTGATGTATGTGGCTTTCAGGCCGCGGGCGGCAGCCAGCTTCTGCACGGATGCCCATTCGTCCGCGCTAGGTTCGGGAAGAAGGTCAAGGCAGACGACGTCACCTCCAGCTTCGACGACGGCACCAGCAAGGACAATTCCGAGACCGCGGCCTCCACCAGTGATCACGATTGTGCGGTTACCGAGGGAGAAGAGGTCATTTGTACGGCCGACGATGGAGGGTTGGGTGGACTCTGAGACCGCAGGAGTGGTGTGGTCGACGGCGACCTCGGGGGTGGTGTTATCGATAGCAATGGAGGGAGACATGGTGAATTGATCGAAGATTAGGAGATCGAAAATCTACGTAGAATGTATGACCAGGGAGGTACTACGGGCTGTTCAAATAACGTGGACGAATAGCTCATGGAAGCGCTTAACAACAACCCAACTAGGAATATCCTGTCCGACCTGCCGTGCAGACATCTCATGCTTGAATCAAAGCTCCCCTTAGGCCTACTGCTGAACTGTTGCAACAGTTCAAACGCATGAGGTAGATACAACGGGGCTTAATACTTCCCATGAGGGAATTTCGCGATTGTCGGCCATGGAACCATGGCGCCGGCGGGTTGCCGGGGTCCAGCCGAGGTGGGCCCGGCAGAGGCGCGTAACATTACCGCATGCGGCAACTGTATAGGCCAACGTACGATGCCCTATCCCGGTCCCCACCCGGTTCTCGTTTAGCGGCAAAGGCCAAGTTTGGGGATACAAGTTGCTCATCTGCGGAGGGTTCTAAATTGCATGATTGTGGCAGACTTCAACAGGTTGAAGTTGCTAGAGTCGGGTTATTATGGGTCCTGAGATAGTGTCGTCGTATCAAAGATAAAGATATGTCCATCTGATTGCGAATATAACCGTTTAACCTCGCAAAGAAACCGACAGAACTCTAAACCAGAAGGTACCGTAGAGACTTCCCGGTCTGCGTGGTCCTCCACACCAACCCCGGTTTTGCCCTTCCGACCCCCGCAATCCGCAAAGCATGACGTCGGGCCGTCCATCGGCGGTTACATGCCCTATAAAAGTAGATGTAGCCCCTGAATGGCGCCAGCCCTAATCGAATATGACTTGTCCTCATACCTGTTTGAAGAGTACGAAAACATGACTATTCTCGTTGGAAAGGCCCTGTCATGGGCTATCACCACCACTGCAGGAAGTGGGTTCCTGCTGTGCGTCTCCTGCGCCTCTTTTCACATTGCATGAGTTGACCCTTGCTTAGATTCGGCTATGATCAGGGTGTCATGTCTGGTCTCCTGACATGGACTGCTTTTACTCGAACCTTCCCGGAGATTGACACCACTGCTACCGGACACGGTAGTTCGTCGCTGCAGGGGACGGTGTAAGTTATTCATACAGTGGACTGTGCTGGATGAAGTATCGCTAACGAGGATAGCACTGCCATCTATGAGATCGGATGCTTCTTCGGGGCTATTATTGCCCTGTTGATTGGTGAACGCATCGGACGACGCATGTGCATCATCGCTGGCTGTATCATTCTTTCGATCGGAGCTGCGTTGCAATGCAGTGCGTATAGTATCCCTCACTTGATCGTGGGACGGATAGTGGCCGGTGTTGGAAATGGTCTCAATACTAGTACAATTCGTACGTCGTGCTCCTTGGAGATGTGGTAAACGGACGAGGCTAACGATGGCAGCGGTTTGGCATTCGGAGCTGAGCAAGGCAGCAAGCCGTGGAAAGGGGGTGAGTGGCGCCGATAACTTGACTCTGATACCGTCTTAACAACTTTAGCTTGCGATTGAGCTTTGCATCAACATCTTTGGCGTGATGACAGCATACTGGGTTGGTGAGTCTATCATCTACTATATACGTGGTGGGGACATGGCTGATGGCTGTAGATTACGGAATGAGCTACGTGGTCAACGACGCGCAGTTTCGCTTCCCCATTGCCTTGCAGATTCTCTTTGCCGTTATCACATTAGCAGGCATTATCGTGCTTCCCGAGTCTCCTCGCTGGGTATGCCACCTCCCTTGTTCCGTATGAAAAGTATGACTGATGATAACGATGACAGCTTATTGCCCACGGCCGACACGAGGAAGCGCGACATGTCATCTGGGCTGTCCAACCCAACGCCCGACTGATCGACGAAGATGATGCTGCAGTGACCGCCGACGTTACAGAAATAACCACCGCTATCGCTGAAGAGCGAGAGGCTACGCAAGAAGGGTCCTTCAAGCTGGTCTTCACGAACGGCCACCAGAAGTTCTTCTACCGGACGCTGCTGGGAATGGGTGGCCAGATGATGCAACAGCTGTCGGGTGTCAATCTGATTACATATGTGAGTGACTTGTATCTGGCAGCTCTGGTATCGGTGTCTGACTTGAGCAGTACAATACGGTTATCTTCGAGGATTCGGTTGGCATGAGCCATAACCTGGCGTTGTTGATGGCTGGGTTCAACGGCGTGGCCTACTTTGCCTCGACGTTTGTCCCTATCTGGGCTATTGATCGGTAAGTTGTATATATTTCGTGGTATGGTGTGGTCGGTCGTTGACAAAGCTAGGCTGGGCCGTCGGAAGTTGATGCTCTTCGCGGCGGCTGGGCAATGCGCATGCATGGCGATACTGGCGGGCACAGTATATGACGGCAGTCACGCATCTGGTATCGTGGCCACGGTCATGCTGTTTTTGTTCAACTTTTTCTTTGGAGTGGGATTGCTGGCCATTCCCTGGTTGTGTACGTTGACTACCCTTTGGGTGACCATGGATCTGGCTAATGATGACAGTGCCCGCCGAATATGCCCCGCTGTCTATTCGATCTCAAGCTGCGGCTCTCGCAACCGCTACAAACTGTATGTGATGCCAAATCCTGCGTGAAAATCTCTCTAACAGTCGCAGGGATCTTTACCTTCCTGGTGGTGGAAATCACTCCGGTCAGCATCAAGAGCATCGGCTATCGCACGTATATTTATTTTGCCGGTAATTCAATTCTCGCCCCAATTAGCGATAAAAGCTAACGTCACAGTGTTCAATTTCTTCTTCCTCCCACTGATTTACTTCTTTTACCCGGAGACACGGAACCTGACCCTGGAACAAGTGGACCGGTTATTCACCGGGGAAAAGGTCCAGCTGCACTGGCACGCGTCAATGGGTGCCGTTGGGGATGCGAGCGAGCGAGTGGACGAGAAGACAACCAAGGGAAGTGTAGAGCATGTAGAGTAGACGTATCTTATGTTCGATTTAGATATCATGAATGATTGCAAATGATTACTATCTTTAAGAGCGACCCTGGATAAATCCCAACGGATAAATGAAAATGTCTGGGGAAAACCCCGACTTCCCCACATTCTCCCCGGCGGGTATCATTGCCCGATCAGGCAATTTTTCTCTCTTCCTCCCCCATCATTCCCCGCGATCCCTCATCATCATCATCATCCTCAGTCATTCCAGTTTCCCTCTTCAACAGTCCCCTATTAATCAATCACACATGACGGGGAATTATGGCTGAGGTTTCACAACCCATTGAACTGCATACCATGCCTTGCGCCGATTCTCGTCATCTTCCGCGGAAACGGACCCGCACGGGGTGCGTCAATTGCAGCCGACGAAGGCGGAAATGTAAGCAGCAAGCAACGGAGCTTGATCCAAACAATAAACTAGTGACTTATCTAGTTAGTGAACATTGCATCAAGCTGACTTAGTCCAGGCGACGAAGCAAAGCCTACGTGCACGGGCTGCAAGCGGCGCGGTGACAAGTGCCAATGGCGCGTGCTAGGGTCGTTCCGTGAGGCCAACATCAAGGTTCTGGAACCGGGGCATCCGTCTATGAATCAGACAGCGAGGGGAACTAGGAAACAAAGTAAATTTAAGGTTAGTTTAGCCCGCTTGGTTTAAGGTGAGAGTCCATTGGCATGGGCTGATGGGTTGGTAGATTCTGAATGTTGTTCCTTCTCGACCTGCTGGAAAAGAACGGCAAGCGACTCCGCCAGTTGATGGTGAAAGAGTGTCATCACCTGCGCGATCACCTCCCGGTAGCGGTGAGGGTGTTGGTGAAGTGGCGCAGACGACGGTTTTGGAACATGTGTCCGGAGCCGCTCCGGACCGTCCTCCGGCTGTGCTTAGTCCTGGTTCTAATCAGGCTGTCTCGCCCATTTCGCATCAGAGCTTCCATGATGAAGAAGTCAATATTGGAAATGGTCATTCACCTCACCCGGCTGAACTGCCTCATCCGTACCCTGATGAAGCTCCCCATCAGCCGTACCTCCATTCTAGTCCCGAGTTCGTTGTCGATGAGCTTACTGCTCTGCGTAACCTCTCCAATAACCCGGGGCCCTTTCCTGGACCTGAAGTCTACCAGTCTATAACATCGCCGCTGTTTGATCATAGCGTTTTCTCGGATCCAGCAAATCTAACAAACGATGTCTTCGTTCCGGGTTCAGCCTACGAAGCGCTTCACACCACGCTGCGTAACCGACAGCTCTGGACTGCCAGGACAGAAATCCCCAGTCGCGCAAGCACCCCAGCATCAGTGCTTGGATACGACGGAATCACGCCGTACGACCCACGCACACAGAGAAGCAGACGAGCCCAGTCCAGACCTGGGCGGGAATTTGAACTGACAGCCGAGCGCGAGAACATTCTTTGGCAGAACTACCTCAACGAGATCTGCTTATGGGTAAGTGATCCAGACACCCCGCCGGACGAGTACTAATCGTGCAGCTGGACATGTTCGACAACCACCGACACTTCGCATCGACCTTCCCTCAGATGGCTAAGTCGTCGCCACATCTGCGATATTCCATCCTTGCCCTGTCAGCACGGCAGATGGAGCGGCAACAAAACAAAAAGTCGCAATCAGAAAGTCTTCTCTTATACCAAGAGGCCATCCATCAACTTCTCCCGGAGCTAGAACAAAAGACAACCCCTGTCATCGCGTCATGCGTCATTTTATGCGTCCTCGAAATGCTCAGCTGTATGTACCCCTCTCTTCCCCTCCGACATTCCCCACCCACTGACAGGTCTAGGCAACCCCAAAGAGTGGCGCCGTCACCTCGACGGATGCGCCTACCTTATCCAAGCGGCGGAAATCAACGGCTTCTCGGGTAAAGAGGAGCAGGCGCTATTCTGGTGCTTCGCGCGAATGGGTTAGTTGCATCTAGTCTACCTACTTTATCCCTGTTCCTAGTGTCTCCCCCCCACACATCCCCTCCTAGATTAATAGACTAATGCACGACATAACTGTTACAGACGTCTGCGGAGGCCTCATCTCCGAAGAAGAGACCATTATCCCGATCCACCACTGGATCCCGCGCGACATGACCCCCACGGAAGCATCCCAGCTCTTCCTCGCCTCGAACATGACCACCTTTGACACGTATGCCAATTACACGGTCTTCCTGTGTGCCCAGACATTAGGAGTGCTCTTCGGCGGTAGTAGCCAGTTACCAGCGTCCTGCATGTCGTGCCACTATCTCTCTAGTCCCGGGGAGGGCGAGTCGTATGTGCAGCGGTGGCAGCGCCTGTTTGATGATGTGGAGCAATGGTACGAGAACCGGCCGAGTCAGATGAAGCCGATTTTCGTCCTGACAGCGGGAGGGAGGGGAAATGGGGAGAGACCGTTTCCGACGGTGCTGTATGGGAATGGGGCTGCTAGTATGTTGCTTATCCAATTTCCTATTCGGGAAACTGTGGATGTATCCATAGGCAGACAACATGGATGTGTGTACTAACTGATGGATCTAGTTTCAGGAAATCAGCTCTATCATGCCTGCGCGTTGCTTCTGCTGCAGCGAAAACCAAAGACAATATCCCTGCCACGGCGACCGGTGAGTCATTTTTCTTCATTTATCACCACGAGGATGATTACATCCGACGGATCGGACACTTACTCCGGTCCCTCAACCCTTATACTTAGTAATACTAACGAGGTGTAGAAATCGGTATTATGGCACGCGCGGCAAATCTGCGCTATTTCCGCATCGAATACTCACCAGTAAGACCCCTTACAGCTACTGTGAAAAGTTTAAGAATAAAGTTAATGGATGAGAAATAGTGGCTGCTGGACTAATGCCCTGCAGCCGCTGTGGCTGGCTGGCAAAGTTATGTCGCATTATTCGGAACATACCGCCATAATCGAGACATTGACGCGAATTGAGCGCGAGACGGGCTGGGCAACAGCCTGGCGAGTGGAGGATTTGAAGGAATTTTGGGGGGACGAAGACGAGGATGTGGATGTGGATATGGATGGGGGGATGGACCTGGACCTGCGGAGTGAGAGGGAGAGAGGGAGCATCGGGAGTATTCCCTCGAGTCGGTCGTGAAATGAGATGAGAGATTTCCACGAATGTGGCATGAGCAGAGGCAAGAGGCAGAGAGCATAGCTCAATGCAGGCACGGGTCGGACGGGAGGAGCTTTGGGGACTTGATTGATATCATTGGATTAATTGGGATGATCGAGATCGGGATCCACCAGGCCGGGAATGAGCGGGATGATCTTACCGAGACAGATGATAGATGAATAGTAGCAGAATAGCTAGCTATTCACACCAGAAACGTGAGCAGTAAACGTCAAGAATACATAATATGATCTTCATCATGAATATCCACCATTCTTGGTTATCAGTCTCCGTCGAAAAAGCTAGACAGTAAGTAGACAGGAAAGTTAGACAGCAAGGAAGATCCCATAATCAAGGCAGGCAACCAGTGGATCTCAGCTTGCAGGTTCAGCTTCAGCTCTGACCCCATCAATCCACTCTGATAGGTTTAAACCACCGACTCCTCTCCAGCCGCAGCGGATCTCGCATCCTCCCAAGCAAAGGTTCTGGTTCGCGCGCGTCCCGATCCGCATCCACCAAATCCATCCATCTCCACCGTTCATTTCATTTCCCACTGCGTAGCCCATAACCAAGTTTACTCCTACACCTCTAACAACCCCCCCTCTCAAAACAACACTCCCAAAAATTATAATGAATCTATACGAAGTAAGTAAGTAAGTAAATAAAATCAAGATTCAGCCGAAACCCTTTTCAATACGACCTCCAACCCCTGCACCTCCATTCCCTTCTCACCCAAGTCCTTCAATCCAGCCCCATCATCATCCCGATCAAACCACAACCTCCAAACCCCCTCCTCATCCACTCCCGGAAACCTTACTGCCAACCACCCCTCCCACCCCTCCAGCGTAATCCGGGATTCGTCCTTCGTCCAGTCAAAGGGCCCACACACCTGGCCCTCGCTCTCGGCCCGCCCACCCCAGCGCACCTCGTGCGTGGTGACGTCGAGGAAGACCCAGCGTAACGTGGGCGGCGTTTCCCCTGTGATGGTGACGAGGCCGGCTGTGTTATCCGGTGGGAATTGCGGATGTGTGAAGAAACCCCCGTTGAAGGGGGTCATTGTTTCAGGGTTGGGGTTTTTGGTTATGTAGAGCTATATTGAAATATTTCATTATTGTGTCAATGCAGGTACAGATTAGTTTCAGGGGAGGGGTGGGTTTGAAGCTAGAAAATGCGTGACAGGGATGAGGGTATGGGATGTATGTAGATGTGGTATGATGGGTGCAGGATGGGGAAACATACTAGGGAATATTGAGACTGAGAAAGGAAGGATGGAAGAAAGAAAGGAAGGAAGGAGACTTACTCGGTTCTCAGGACCCACATACACCATCGCATTATGAATTTGTTCGCGCTGTGCCGTCGTGCCCTGACTCACGGAGCAGTTCACTAACAGATGGCAGCGTTGTTTCCGACTGGATTCTTTCCGGCTATCTTCGCTGTCGCGCATGTTTTGACTGGCTTGGTTGAGCCCGATCATGGTTGGGACCATAGCGGCCATCATGGCGATGCCGAGGACCATGTTGCTTATTTTTCCTTGTGGATAATGGGTGATGCCTAGATGGGATAGACGGACAAGGATCGGAAGGGATAATGCAAGCGAGATGGATATGGTCGGAAAAGATAGATGGGATGGAGGAGAAAAAAGTCAGATCGGCGCATTAAGTAGGGTGGGTGTGATGGAGGTGGAGTCGATGCAACTTGGTCGGAACTAATCGCTAGACTGCAGATGGAGGGAAAGTTAGTTTAGTTTCGCATAGGATGATTTATAAAGTAGTTTAGGCGGGATCAGGTGTTAGTTGCGTCTGCTAAGTACATGGATTCTTCTGCTTCTTCTTCTTCCTACTACTCTTCTTCCTATTCCTCGTCGTCTTCTAGGTATTCTTCGTCCGATTCCGAGTCGCTGTCCTCGACATACTTCTACTCGCACTTTTCCCTCGCCGATTCGTTTTCTCATCCTCATCTTCATCCTCTTCCTCACTCCTCTCCTACCTCCAAGGGACAAGACAAACCACAAGAGGTCAAACCTACATACCAACCTCCTTCAATTCCAACCACCGAAAACACAATGGCCGACTCTTCCTCCCCAGGGTACGTCTCCCCTCCCATTACCTTCCCCCATCCCATATTCCCATCCACCACCACCACAACAACATACCTATCTACGTAGTAACACCCTCAATTCTCCAGCCCTACTCCCACATCTACATCCACCCCAAAACCACCCTCCAAACCCCCATCCCCTACTCCGTCTGCCGCTGCAGCAGCTACACCTACCTCAATTCCTAAACCACCCTCTCCCACTAACACTCCCCTCCCCACCAGCAACCCCACACTCGGCAACCGCCGCAACAACCGCGCCGAAGAAGAAGCCGCCAGTGCTGCCGCTGCTGTCCTCCCCAACGAAGGCATGAAGGCCCCCGGCGTGACGGCCAACCAGGATGAGAAATCCAACCTCAAGATCAGCATCCATTTGAACTTGCGTGCCAAGGTGAAGTTGGATTTGGATGCGCAGTTGTATGGTGATATCGTTATTGGGTTGTTGTAACCTTATTACTTTGACGTGTATGTTGGTATGAGGGTGGGGATGTATGTATGGTACTTGATGGCATGCATGAAGAATTGATGAATGGAATGAAATGGATATATGAATTGGGTTTGTCTGTATGATTTATTTGTAGGGGTAAGGTGGTGGAGAGGGAATTCTAGGTAGTAGTAGTGCGCATGAGGGTTGCTGTCTCATTTAGTATGAGGGTAATGGTGCTGGTGGTAGTAGTTTACTTCGCTATCGCAGATGACCGAATTGATTACCTTGAGTACTCCGTACTGATCATTCAATGCACTGAAGTAAACTAGTACCTCGCAAAGTCAAACAGAAATGGTATCAACATGCGAGACACATACTACCTGCTAAGTGTTGCATTAGTATACTCCCTCAATACCCCCCTCATCACATGCACCGGCGCCGGCCTCCTTGTAAACAGCTCATACTGCGCAATGCCCTGCTCCAACAACACCACCAGACCATCAACCACGACCCAGCCCATACTCGCTCGTTCATTCATACCAATTCTCAGCTTGGTCTGCGGCATTCCATACGCCACCTGTCCAGTTAGCACCTCTCATTAAAAAATCAGGGTATTTGAGAACACATACATCAATGAAAACACCCCCAGTCGTACTCCTCAACCACTGCTCCGGCACCTCCATCGTAATAGGGGACTTCAACTGCCCTCCAGCCGGCGCCGGCAAACACGCAACAATAATAGTCGGTTGACGAAAGCCCTCTGGCCAGGCGTCGTCACTCGATCGCAGAATCTCGATCTTCAGATGGGTATTATTCCTCTCAGCCCACCGGGTATAATAGTCAGCTAGCTTCTGCGCATTCGAAACAGTCCGGTTATAGATGCAGATCTGGCGGACGCCGAGCTGGTAGCATGCATAGATGGCTGCGCGGGCCATTCCGCCTGCGCCTATTACCAAGGCTGTGGTGCCGTGTCGGATGGCATTGGCGGGAGAGAGGTGTTTGTTGATGCAGTCGCGGATCCCGAGATAATCTGTGTTGTAGCCTTTAAGGACCTTGGAGGGGCTGTTGGTACTGCTATTTCGGTGCTCGATGACCACCGTGTTTACGGCGTGGATGTCCTGGGCATCTGGGCTGACTTCGTCTAGTAATGGGAGGACGTCCGTTTTGTATGGTAGTGTTACAGCTATTCCTCCATGCTCGGCGCTGTTTAGGAGTTTGTGGATGTCAGAGAAGTGATCGCTGCATAATATGTTGTAGGCGTGTGGTAGACCGCAGGCTGCGTAGGCTGCATTGTGCATTGCTGGTGAGAGACTGTTTTGGACTTTTTGGCCGAAGACGGTGAAGATTTGTTTCGGAAGCAGGTAGCAGGATGTAAGTGCTTGCTGGGCCGATGCGAGTGTGACCCCTGTGGGACTGTCCAGAAGAGATGGGAGGACCACTGGCGAGAGAATGGGATTTAGACATATAGATGCTCGTCCGAGTGGCCCACTATGGTATACGGTTATGGGAATGTCTGTTACCTCACCCAGCCGTTGCTGTAAAGTAAGATTCGTGAGATCCCCTGGGAAGCTGGGCTCTATAGTAACGCGAAAGGCATCGAACCCTTGCTCTTCTGAATTCTCCAGAAGAGAACGTATTTCAGGAAGGATACTCTGGTCCCTAGCCAAGGAGGTTGACTGATAGGTGGCAATGATCTTAGTGTGGCCTTTAGCCAACTTTAATCTGCTAAATTCGCAGCCGTCAACAGGACATGCCACAGCATCGGGTGCGAGTCGAAGCAGCATCTCCAAGAGCTCACCGCGTCTAGCATCTGACTGCGAAATCTCGATGAATATTGGAATCCGAGTATGCTTCCGGATCGTCGCCATGTGCTTGGCAATTCTTTCCAGGAATCGGGCATTGTAATTATCACCGACTCCCCCGTCAATCACAATAGTAACCGCGTCAGCGCCACTCTCCGATAGTTCCAGGTCCGGATTGCAGTCCAGCCAGGTTAGCGGCACCTGTAGCGCATATGTATGAGACGGTGAAAACGGGTCCGAAGAATAGAGCACATGATAAGCACGACCGAAGACCTGATGCAAGAACCTTAGGAACACTCGTTCAGCTTCCTTGAGTTTGATATACGCCGGGAGTGGGCGACCAGCATAGTCTGTCAACTTGTCTTCCTGTGTGTGATTGAAAAAGTCAAAGCTGGAGCATGACTGGAAGAACTCATTGCCCGCTTCAAAGATCCGGTTGAACTTGTCAGGGCTAGTGGTCATGATGAACTGTTGAAGATCCACCCTGTCGCGTCTGACATACACCACGGGATGGTTCTGTGCAAACTTCTTCAAAAGCACCTGCTGCTGGCGATTTGCCGACCATCCCACGCCCGAGATGGTAATTACACATCCTGTGGAGCATTTATCTAGCAGAGTGCGAGTCAATTTCAGCTCCAGCTCCCGGTATCGCGCGGGACCATTTTGTGCAATGTACTCCTGGGGAGATAAGTGCACCTCCTGACGAAATACAGCATCGAAATCAATAAATCTGCGCCGCAGGGCGACAGATGCTATAATACCTAGGGTCTTCTTTCCGGCACCGACGAACCCCACGAGCAACAGGGTGGCATCCGCATCGTATCGCCGACAAGGGATGGAGACAGAGCGGTCGCATGGCATCAAAGGAGAGCTGAGACCAGACATTGAGCCTGCCATGACAGAAATGCTCAGCTTCCAGCATCAAGTCATTGTCGGCTGCTCCAGTTGTGGCAAAGCAAGTGGACGAACCAGACAAGTCAATGTGAGACCGCCTAAATTCCTTGCCGATCACATGACCCAGACTGAAACTCAACTGCACCACCAGAGTATGCGCTTAGAAAAAGGAGAAAACGTCGGATAAATCCAGTAGCCGCGAATATCGGCATATGACATGCCTGAGTCTAGGTCATCCAAGCGTCAGCGCATCGGTCGCGCCTGTGATCAGTGTCGGCGTCGAAAGTCCAAATGCGACGGTGACCAGCCAGTCTGCGCTATTTGCCGCTCGGCGGGCAGGACCTGCACGTATGAAAACATCAGTCGACATCGGGGATTGCAATCAGGATATGTTCGCAGTTTAGAGGTGGCTTTGGGGCTTTTCCTCGAGCGGTTCCCTCGCGATGAGGATGCCTTGCGACGCTTCCTGCGCGACCCTCAGTGCAAGAAGCAGCTACCGGCAAGTGACTTGGCGGAGCGTGGGCGACAATCCAGGCTAGCCAAATACGTGTATCGAGTGCTGAATAGAGACTCACAGGACGAGTCGAGTAGCGAGCTTGAAGACGATACTGGTCTTGCACCACGGGGCTGCGACGTTGGTAACCATGGGGAAGAGGAAGGAGAGCGCACTGCCCAGGCAAGAAGTGCCCCTGGCGAGCGGATATCTCAGGTTGTCTCGGTGGAATATCTCAATCAGCCCATCCCAGATAATACCAATCAGCTTCTGCAGTTCTATTTTACCCATATCCACAGCTGGTTTCCTATCATCGAGCGCCGGGACGTCCTCCGCGTCATGCACACCCCTCCCGATGCGTCATGGTCGGCTCGAGACGCTGCCTGTCGTCTCGTGTTGTGGGCAATCGTCGCCTATTCATTGGCAACGGACGACACACTAGGCCGCGGCAGTCAGGTCGATCCAACACAAGTTGCTCAATCTATCAGATCGCAAGTCCTGAGGGACATTGACCGGCTGCAGCTTGGCCATCTTCAATCTCTGTTGATCATCACGCTTCTGTACTTGGGGGTGGGCCATCTGCGTCTGCCATGGGTACTGGTTGGCGAAGCCACCAGGATGCTCGAGATGCTTCCGGAATCTGCCAGGTGCGCTCGCTACCTACACATCCGGCATGGATGCATCTTGATCGACAATCTTACCTCGGCAATTCTGGAAAAAGCTCCCTGTGCCTCGCTTGATGACCTGCGACAGTGTGCCTTAGTGAGCGAGGACGATGTGGACGAATGGGAGCTGTGGTCTATGCTGCGACCTGACCAGGCTTCAGGAGGCAGTGTAGTCGCCAAAGGCCCCTTGCGAGCTCTAAGCACCCTCAACCTTATCCACGAAGTGATGCGATTCCTTAGTCGGATACTATATTATCCTTCTGGGACGCTCCCCATCCAGGAGCTTGTAGTGGAGCTACGGAACTTGCAAGCCCTTGTGACGGCCAGGCGGCCTTATCGCGGTCTTGAATTTGCGAGCCCTCCTCTCCTTACGTTACATCTAACCACGGCCTTCGTGGTATTTTCTCTCGCTCTGAAGCACAAGACGTTCGATCCGGCCATCAAGCCGCTGGCCATGACCAGCTTGCGTCTTACTCTTGAGATATTGGATGCATATACAGAAATCACTGGGATGGCGGGCTCGTCCCCGCTGCTTCGCTGCTTTTCCTTCCAGGCCTACCGGTGTCTACAGAGTGCTCCGAGCATGTCAGGGCCGGGAATGGAGCAGCTGAGCAGTCGACTGATCCATCATATGCAGCAGCTGAAGCGAAGCGGCGAGGGCGGTACTTCTTATGAGGCGCTACGTTTTACCTGGTTGCCCCTAGGGAATCACCTTGACTGGTCTTACTTACCAGTGCCACGACTCACTACTCAGCGGCCTTTGGTGCCTGAAGGCACTGTCTACGGTGGACCTGACTTGAACATGGGGAATATGCCAATATCAGACCAAGTAATGGCCATGCCCGGCTTGTCCTCTACTTCTGGTGGTGTTATGGATGTTGGAAATGAAAGACAGGCGCAGGAGACTGAAGACTTCGATGCTCTCTTTGAGGAGATGGTAGCATCTATTCCGCAAACTAGGTATGTTCGATATCCCGGACATCATGTTTTCTTACTAACAATAACAGAAACGAGCCCACATTTGCCGAGAATTTGGGTTTCTATGCAGGAAATTTAGATACAGACTTTCTGGCTCAGCTTCAACATGTCCCAGACAATAGTTGATTGCCAACATAGCTATCTATGAGCGTAATCATAGATCTAACTCCTTGGCCAACTGTTGCCAGGCCCGGATGCCTCGCTGGGAATGGCTCTGCGGCACGGTCGGATCCGGATCCGCCATGGTTCTGGAGAACAGTTCCATCGACACCCATCCTTCGAATCCAAGCTCCTTCAGGATTACCCGAGCTACCTCGAATACCGGGAGATACCCGCCCTTTTCCTGTTCATACAGGAACAATCTCGCGTTGCGGCTCCAGTTCATGCGTGCCGGCTGGCCGTCGACGTGGAACGGATGGCCGGGGACCAATGGCTGCTCCATCTTTTCTGCATCAACAACCTGAACATAAAAGACCTTATTCACGTCGATTGTCTTCACAAGGCGATCCAACGACTGGGCTAGCAATGCATCAGCATCAGGGACCGTCCCCGAGGGACTGGCGGGATCGGCCCACACCCGACCGGCGATGTTGAAGGTATCCAGACAGCATCCAAAATTCGGGCGATCGACCCGTTGGATGATTTCCCACATGGTGTCCCAGGTTGAGACATATGTTCCCCAGGCGAGACTCTCGTATGCGAAGCGAACTGGGGGCTCTTGCTGCAGGCCCAGATCGGCCACCTCGATCATGTCGGAGACAATGAGATCAAGATCTCCTGAGATGCCATCGGGCTGAAAGTTCGACGGGATCTGGATGATGTCGGTACCGAGAATCTTGATGATCTTGAACCAGGTATGAAGTTTGGCGATCTTTTGTTGGTGGACGTCTCGATCTAGCAGGCCTTCGTAGAACAGGAACGGCTGCAATCCAATCACTTCGAGGCCGTGTCGGTCACAAATATCCTTGGTTTCTCGGGCGGCAATTAGGAGATTCTCTTCTGTCGGTTCTCCCTTTTCTTTGGCGAGGTATTCTAGGTCTTCGTAGAAGATTTCCACCCCTTTGAAGCCGGCCTGGGCGATCTGGGAGAGCTTCTCGGGGAGAGAATGGACCCAGGCACGGCCCACGGACATGGACGCGATAGCAGGTTTGCAAGGCATGATAGATATAGAAAATGATAGTACACTAAATTGATATCTGAAAGTGTAGTGGAACCTTGGATGTGCATTTATATGCTCTCTGTCATACGTCAGGCCCGGCCCACACTGAGGTCATCGGCAATGTCCTCATCCGATTCCAGTCCTTCCCTGCAATCCATCCATTAACTATACTAGTCTTCTATTCTAGAAGTTGATACCCGGACTCTCCTCTGCAGCTTTCCGCAGCACAGACCACGCTCCATCCAGCGACAACTTCTGTCTCTCCTCTTCCCCGCACCAGAGCCGATACTGCTCCGGCATCTGATGTCCAATAACCTCCGTCCCCTCCACCGTAGCCCACCCCCGTGGTCGCGCCATCTTCAGAAACCTTGTCTGTCTCGGCTTGAAGCACATATCAAGCAACACCCCCTTAACAGGGGCATCCAAAAACGCCTCCACGATGCGATGCACCTCCTTCTCCTCCGCCGTCACCGGCTCCGCATCAGGAACTGTCCCAACCATATACCCCGGCGCCGCCTTCTCCAACAAACCCGCAACCTGCTCCACCCTCTCAACATGAACCATCTTCAACCCCTCCCCATACTCCTTCTCCGTTTCCTGCCTCAAAACCCTCACTTCCTCCTCATCCCGATTCACCACGTAGATAGGCGTACATCCCAGCTCCTCATACAGCGCATACACCGCCGCACGACATGCTCCCCCCGCGCCCACAATCACCGCGGCCTTACCCCTCCCTTTCTCCTCCGGGTCAGCAGAAAGCAAACACCCTTTGATACCGCGCCAGTCGGTGTTCGTTCCGCGCAGCGAGCCATCTTCTGCGCGATAGACGTTATTGCACGCTTGGAGGCGCACAGCGTACTCGTCTAGCCCGTCGAGATGTTCCATGATGGTGCGTTTGTAGGGCATGGTTACCACCCCGCCGGCGAAGGTAGGCTGGCGGAAGAGAGCCACGGCGTCTTCGACGGTCGGGCATTCTTGTGCGATGAAGGTCCACGGGTAGCCCATGCTTTGGAAGGCGTAGTTATGCATTGGGGGAGCGATGGAGTGGGTTACGCCAATGCCAACAAGGTAGGCGAAGCGGCGGGGGTCGTCGGTAGTAGAGGACATTGTGTTGCCGTGGTTGGCGTGATTGTGTCTGGTTTGTTTGGATAATATAGAAGCTGAGATAGAATATGATGATTGCTTGCACATAATATAATACCTAGAATGTCCATCGGCAATGATCCTACCCGCCACGGATATCTTTTTGCCGAGCCCATGTTCTCCCCCGGCTCTTCCCCGCGGGGTATGCATGCCCTACTTACCATCCGCAGTATACTATAAAGTAAACTAACCCCCTTTACCCTCACTCAAACAATTATTCACTCACCACTTTTCCCAATTCCAGCCAAAGAATCACCTATATCCAAATCCGAATCTAAAGTAAAATCAAAATGCCCGACCTCCACTCCCTCCCTCCCAACTCCCGCCCCCTCCACGCCATCCGCAACAACGGTCCCCATCACCTCGCAATAGAGCGCTATCTCCTGCGCGAACTTGCCGAAGGCTGGCCGTGCTACCGCGACGCCTGCGAATGGGAGAACTTCCGATCGATCTTCCACCCGGAAGCGCACGTCTACACAACCTGGACGGGACTCACGCACCACGATGCATTCATCACAGCCTCGCAGGCGGGAATGGACAAGGGCGCGTTCATCATGCATCGCGTGCATGGCAGCACCACGGACATTAACCTCGAGGGAACGCGTGCCGTCACGAAGATGAAAGCTACTATTACGCAAAGATTCAGTGGGGTGGAGTGTGTGGGTGGGGGAACCTGTGAGGTGGACGCGGAGAGTGATTGTCGGTTTATCTTCTTCTGGGAGAAGGTTGGTGCAGAGTATGAGGAGTTGAAGGGCCAGTGGAGGGCCAGGTTCGTGAGACACTGGTATGAGAAGGATAAGTTGCTGCTTGTGACGCCGGATCGCGTGCCGGTGATTGATCATGAGAGATTGAAGGAGTATCCCGTGGGGTATCGGCATTTGGCGTATTTGCAGGAGGAGACGATGGGGGTCAAGGTGTTGAGGGATTTGCCGGGGCATAGGAGGGAGAAGGCCACGGGGAGTGTTAATGGTGAGAAGCATGATTTGTTGTATTGGCAGGCGAAGGAGTGGGTGGAGGGAGGGGATGTGAAGTGGGCTTGATGGAGGTTTACTAGTAGTATGTTTGTACGTTGGTGTATGTGTTGAATAGACTTTACTTGCTTATAAAGTGTCCTGTTTATTGAGTAGGTCAAGAGGGTACTGCATTCCATTGTACTGGTATAGGAAAGCAGGATAGCCAACATCTCCCACCGAAGTATTGCCATAAGAATACAGTGCAAAATCATGCACGTAGCGAGGTCTAAATTCATATCCGTACCATCACCCCCACTAAACCTACCTTCTGCCCCAGGATAAGTATACATCCATCCAACGACCCCATCCTTCGGCTCCCTCCCGATGATAAACTCATACCCTAGGCTATGAACATACCCGACACTCCACCACCACTCCACCACGACCAAGCCCTATATCAACCATCACAACCACATACAGTACCATAGCCAAGCACTATCCCACCATTCATCCGCCTTTGAATTACTCGTTAAAACACCGAAAATGACTCAACCCCTCAACTTCCACATCTTCGGCGGCTCCAACATCCGCGCCTCCTTATCCCCCACCATCCACAACGCCGCCTTCACCCACCACCATCTCTCGCACACCTACACCACCGCAGAATGCACCTCCTTATCAGAAATGTCCCATCTCATCACCTCTCCCTCCTTCGGGGGTGCCAGCATCACAATGCCCCATAAAATCGCCGCTTTCGACCACTGCACTGAAGTGAGCGATTCAGCGCGCGCCATTGGGGCCATCAATACCCTCGTTACTACTCGATCCCCACAAGCAAACAGCAAGGTAGTAGTAAAAGGCGACAATACAGACTGGTCCGGCCTCTACACACTCATCATCGACCATTTATCTAAAGAAGGTGTACATGCCGCAAAACCAACCGGCAAAGTAGGCCTCGTCATCGGGGCAGGCGGTGCCGCGAGAGCCGGAGTGTATGCGCTCTTACAGGCTCAGTTCTCGACGATTATTATTTGGAATCGGACTGTCGAGAAGGCGGAGAAGATTATTCAGGATTTTGATACCCTCAAGAGTGAGGGAATCGAGATGAGGGCTGTGGGGGATGTTACGGGGATTGGACCTGTGGATGTGGTTATTGGGACTATTCCTGGGGATGTTAAGGCGGAGGAGGACTTTGAAGGGCTGTTTCAGGGATCGAAGATGGGGTTGTGTGTGGAGATGGCGTATAAGCCGAAGGTTACACCCCTGATGAGGGTTGCGGAGAGGCGGGGTTGGGTGGTAAAGGATGGGTTGGAAGTGTTGTTGAGGCAGGGATTTGAGCAGTATCGCTTGTGGACGGGGTTGGAGGCTCCGGAGCTGGTGATGAGGGAGGCGATTGAGGAGAGGGATGGGGTGAGGTCTAAGGTTTGATTGGAACTCATGAGATTTTTTGTTGGTGTTGAGATGTGATGGGGTTCATTATGCTATAGAAGATCTTTATTTCTAGTCTACCGTATAATAATGTTTCTTTCATTGAAGAATCCCTGTACTTTGGTGCTTTTTTTTTTTTTTTTTTTCCATGCTCTTTGCTTTTCCGCCAGTGTTCATAGCTGCGGGGCAATCTGTGAGGGCAAAGATTACTTACAGGAGGGCACAACGCTAACTGGACGCCCTACTAGTGACAGTTCCCCACAGCTTTCATAAGAGCCATTTGACAGCTTGAGCGGAACTGCTGGCGCATGCTGGTTCTCCAGACGGTCGCCAGTGCCCGTGGCACCCAACCATGTCGGTTTCTGCGCATCCACGAGGCCCATCGTGATCCTGCTTTTCATACAGTAGATGCTCTCCGGCTTAAATTCTCTATAACCACAGTCTTTCTCGAAAGAATGGTATTCAGGAGATCCAGTTAAACGGGTTGCCCAATTTTCCGCCCCCAAGTCGGCCACCGAGCCCCAGCATTGCATCCCCAGGGAGATGGAACTACTGCGTCAGTCTCCATTATACGAACATGTGATGCCCATCAGCTTAATCTGACACCCTTGAACGATAGAACATCATGGTCTCTGTTACCCCACATAACCGGCCGAATATCACCTCATCTTCCAATCAGATGCACTGGAACTATCGGGTAGACTAGCGTGACTCACTAGTACAACACCCTATAAAAGACCCTTCAATGCAAAAGCCGCTACATGGCCGTTGCACAACCATCATCTCACCTTATACATACCTAATTTTCCTACTAAAGTATACATAATGATCTGTACATTAACCCCAATCAACCTCTACAACCCTTCGGAATATGCCACCCTCCAACACCAACGCCGCATCTGCGGCTGGGACTACAGCGACGAGAGCATACTGGCTTGGCGTGAGAAACAAGACGCTGACTTGAAAACATTCTTCTGGATTATCCTCCCGAGCAAGAGTGGTGACGAACCCATCCGCGCCGGCCACATCTCGCTCGACGCATACACATCTCCTCCCGACCCAGGACTTGCGCAAGCTGATCACTCAGTCTTGACCATTCAATCTTTCTTCATTCTGCCAGAATATCGGGCTGGAGGTGTCGGTCGTCGAGCTATGCAGTTGGTGGAGGAAATGGCGGTGAACGACCCCCGGTGTTCTACTGTTACTGTCAATGCATTGAGCAAAGAGTACCTTGAAAATGAGGAGAAGCGCGCATTCCTTAAATCGATGAACGCAGTACCGGAGTTTGCGGCGGTGTTGTGGTATGAGAGACTCGGATATGTGAGGTGGAAGACGGAGCCAAGATATCCGTATCAGTTGCCTCAGGGAGGAGATGGTATGTACGAGGCAGACTTTTTGAGGAAGAGGTTGCGGTAGGAGTTGCTGATGAAATGATTGTGTGGTGTTCTCTTGGTCGCCGGTATACTATTTTGGTGGTTGGTTTGTGGTGAAATAAATAGGGATAGACTTATCAGTGTGACAGGGGAACGGGATCGATGATTCAAAGTAGTGATGGACGAGGAAGGGAGACGTTGAGAGGCGGTCTATATACATTATCGTTCTGGAAGGAACACTATTGATGATCAGAGACAGAATAGGCATTAGCTGTCCCAAATGATATCATAACGCCCAATAGTGGTTGATCATTTGAACGAGCTGTCAATTGACAGCTGCCGTTACCCCATCTTAGGATCGATCTCACACTGAGGTTTCACAAATCGCGGGCAAAAGTAGTACAGGATGTGAATAATTGAGTACACATTGAACACTGTCTTTGTTGATTTAGACCTCATATCTCAGGTGTCACTTTCTCAGGCAGACTGACCATCACCATTCATCCTCGCCAGCAGTGACTCGGCGCGCAATAAAAGGGCCAGAGTTCCCAGCCTTTTTGCTACCACTCCTGCAGAAACCATCATCAAAGAGCTCAAGAACAGTTCAAAACCAAGCAGCGCAGGCAATTCTCTCACTCGCCGCCATCATGAAGCTTTCCGCCGTTCTCTGCATCCTCGCCGCCAGTATGGCCGCCGCGGCACCCTTGAACAGTACGTCTTGTCAAGCTCAATCGTGTTGTACAGATAACTGACATTTGCAAGACGCCGACGCCCAGTACCAGAACCAGCCCCAGAACAATAACAATAACAACAACAACAACAACCAGAACAACCGAAACCAAAATCAAAACCAAAACAATCGCCTTACCGCTGAGGAGCAGAAGTACCAAGTCAGCGACAATAACCACAAAATTGGACGTTCCGAGATCCTTTACCCGCGGGAATTTGGCTCTCCTTCCTCGGAGCCCGTCGCGCCTGGGTATTCTGAGTTAGGGTCTCCGAAGGTTTACGTCCCTGAGAACAATCTCCATGCGCCAAAGGCTCCCAAGGAGGACTACAAGTCTGAGGCCTATCAGTCTGAGGAGTACAAGACTGATGACATCAAGTCTAAGGGCTACCAGTCTGTGAGCTCGAAGCCTGAGGTCCACCAGTCTGTTGACTTCAAGCCTGAAGTCCCTAAGCCCGAGGCTCCCAAGCCACCTGCACACCCTGTGAATCACGTCCCGACTAAGCAACATGAATCCTTTTCTTACGATACTCATGAGTCCTACGAAAGTCAGACTACGGAGCAGCAGTAAGCCTTCACGGTCTTTCTTGGTATGTACACGCATGCTTGTTTCATTTCCCTCGCTATAGTAAATTATACTAATATCTTGGTAACAGAAGCAAAAGTTCGAATTTACTCTGACGGTCTTTACGAGCAAAACTTTGCGGAATCGCCTATCGAAGGGGAATTGGAAATTAGGATACTGGAGATACGGATAATTTTTCGGAGCATATAGATTGTGGGCTTACTCTCGGTCGGTTGAATTATTTATAATAGGAAGTAATTTTTAATGTGTTCATCTTTCATCTATTTTGCATTTCATCCAGCAATTGTATGTCTCTCGTGCTGCGCCCTTGCCACTGGTATGTTGTATTGGAATCAATAGTATCTTGAACGTTTCTGACTCCATTTCCAACAAATGTTCTTCTGCACGTCTTCTGCATTAATTTCCGGGCTATCTTGATTTGTTGTTAATACCTATATCGGGAACATATTTATTGGATAAATTGACTAGGTATTCCCGACCAATCACAGGATTCAAACAATATACTGATTATTGCTGTCTTCGACATCTAATTATTCCAATAAAAAGCAATACGTACTTTGAATTCATTCTACGAGACTACTTCGGTATGTGACACAATGCCAAGCACATTCAGCACAGAATACTACGGGTCACTATGTGCAGGCAACTATTTCCAATGTAAACTATTGAAAATCATTTGCATAAGCTGCTCTGGGCTCTCACGCAATCACTAATAGAACTTGCCTCATGCAGAACGATTCTTCTATATTCCTACTTGGCTAAGTGAAAACTGAGGGATCAGGTCGGCCATCTCTGTTTAGCCAGACTTGGCTAACGAGAATGTATTTTGCCTGATCCAATTTGCACATATTGCGGAACTAGTTGCTGCCTCTACTTTAAATATGAGATACGCCTACTATGCGCGTCCAGTTCAGCGAAAGCTCTTCTGCCTTTACAGGCATGTCATAGTGGTAAACTCGACGTGACAAATCCCGTATAGTTATTATTCTCGAAGCAGACAGCCCTGATCGTCAGGAGAAACAACACAGTTTCAGCCACAAAATCTATACCCTTCACATTGCGCGAACTGGTGGTGTCTTGAAGGCGGCGAAAGCCGGTTTCATCCCTTGCATTCCCATCTCGATCGGTAAACCTAAATAAGGAATCCCAACCAGCAATAGTAACACTTCTGCCAATAAAGGCAGCCAAACTCCGGGCCGAGATGACATATCAACGCCACAAATTACATATCCGATCCAACGGACAGAATCCGGGGGTAAGCGTTCGGGACCCTGCAGCCGTGGCGCATGCAATCCAATAATTGACACTAATACGCATATATGGCGACAACTATTGTTCGGAGTCATGGATGTGTCAGTGTTTGTGATATTCGGTGACAGGTTGAGTATGCCTTGTCGCTCTCACTAAGGACACATCTAGTGACTCGAAGGGTCTCACGAAAAGGTATAAAGAGGGCCTTGAACCCTCACCAACTCAACTTCTTCTCATCATCAGCATCAATCAAGCTTCTCTCCTCACAGCTCCTCAAGTCAAAAACCAGTCTTCAATCAACAAGCTCACGCTTCAAACAAACCAACTATTCAAAATGAAGGCCTCCGCTGTTCTCTCCCTCATCGCCCTTGCCGGCTTCACCATGGCTGCTCCTGTCATCGGTATGTGCAGTCGCTCATCTATTCCCATCTACCTAATCTACCCAATACTAAATATCTACCAGACAACGACCATCTCCCAGGCACTGGCCACATCGTCCACAAGCGTGGCGGCGGGCACGACGACAAGCACGACTGGAAGCACGAGGAGAAGCAGCCCGCTACCGTTCTCGCGGAAGTCAACCTGCCTGTTGCTGAGGTTGAGAAGCCCCAGCCGCAGCAGTGGCACAAGCCCGCTCCCAAGCCTCAGCCTGTCCCCGCCAAGACTAGCGAGTACTCCAAGGACGCTGGCAAGAAGTGGGGCAAGGAAGGTGGTGCTTCCGGCGAGGAAGACTACAAGAGCGTCCAGGACAACGAGTCCGCATCCTTCAGCAAGAGCTACGGCGAGACTACCGACCACAAGACGGGCCAGAACTGGGGTAAGGAGGGTGGCCAGGAGTGGGAGAAGGAGCAGGGCAAGTCCCAGCAGTAAACATTGACTGGTATGTATGCTCCTCATTTGTTGATATGGATTTGCTATAAACTAATGGTGGCACTCTCTAGCTTGAGTCGAACCCAGGTTCCGCACTGTACATACAGTTGCTGATGGCTTCGGGGTTGCACCGGGTCATAGTCTTGTGTGATTAATTGTACTGTTGTTGTTGCTGTCTTGTTGTTTTGCGGCTTCCTTGAACCTGTTGATAGTTTCAATGTCTCTCCTTGTGAATAGCCCAGGATGTTGAGTACTATACGTCTATAATTCGCTCATGGGGTTCTTGTGAAGTTTAATACAGATTGGGGTTTTCTCTGATATTATAACTAATTAGTAACTTCTCAACTGCATTCTTTCTGGTAAACATATCCTAAGCTACTCTTTTCCCTATCTCAGTCTTCAACTGCGCAGCATAATAACAAGTGCTCGAGTCAACCTTTGCAATCCCCCATCAGTGGCGGACAAATTCCCAGCAGAACAACTTGTATATGCGACGCATATTTGAGGGTAAGACAATTTGCTATGCCGGCATTATCCGTATCAAGGGACACTTGGTGCTTATGCTGAGTTACCGAAGGCGATATGATCTACAAGGGAAGTCCCATCAACATTGATGTCGCAAGGCTTTGATATTCCTGCTTGATTCCAGATTTGGAATCCTACTGCGTGACCTGTGTATATACCTGGCTATATCCGCACATTGAATTACGAACAGATAAGGAGGAATATAAATTGACATTTATCACACGTCAGCTTGTGATGTTTCCAGATCAATGGCAGAAAGGGTTCAGCATGGGCGAGTTAAGGCAATACCATGAATATAGTACAGGGATATTCCTCTCGTGATGGTGATCACAGACATGGTATAAAACATATATCTTGGTCAAATATTACAGCTGTTGTCTAACCGTCCGCTGCTTTCTGCTTCTTCATTCCTACCCGTCCTTGAACTTCATTTATCTAACTATCATACAACTAATAAAGATGAAGGAAAGTCAGTTCTCCGTTGAGGATCTCCCCACCAAGTCCGTTGCCTCCCATCCTATTCTAGCAACCATCACGCGTGAATTCCCTGTCTGTGTCTTGGTACAAATCCCACAGTAACCAATCTTTGTATCTAAAGTGTATTTTCTAACGGCCCTAATAGCCCGGTCCTTTCACGATCACCATCAACAACATCGACCACAAGGTCGATCCCGATTCCATCCGCGTTGAAGGCTCCGGCCCTGTCAAAGTTATAGACATCCAGCATGCAATCATTCACCGAGATCCGTCCGCCTGCAAACCACCCTCTGATCAAAAGGCCTATGACCCAGCCAGAGACCCCGATAATATAGAAAGGCACCCCTTCAACTCCATTGAAGAACTGACGTGGGCCGAAGATGACGAGTTGTATCGAGCCAGTCGTCTAAGTCAAGAGAGGCAGCTTATGGGTTATGCTGGATATAGTGCGCAATATCCTCCTTTGGGCTTTTCAGAACCAACGATTCGGAAAGGGGAGGATCCGAGTATGTGGGAAGAACGGAATCAGAAATCTGATCCGAAACAGTCGGCCTTGGACCAGTCCTGCCAGGTAGTTGTGCATCTGGAAGGGCAAATGACTGCTCCTGCCTCCGCCTCGAGCCCTGACACTCTTGGTAATGAAGAGGAAGATCAGGCGGAAGGAAAGGCTCAGAGCAATGAAGTGATATTGCGATTGATCTATACAGTTCCGGCGAAATCGGAACTTAAAGCTTCACGACCTCAACCTTAATACGCTCACCTCCTCGGCCAAGATAAGGCACTGTGCCCTGTTCACTGACATGACTGCGGAAACCTGGCAGATGCCCAGCTAATGCTGCCGACTCCGCAGACACACACGTCGTGTCTGGAGGAACAGTTTCCATCATTGCAATTATTTGATCAGGCAGCCATACCACCTGAAACCAGTTTGTTCTCGCCTTCTGTGTCAGCACTGGGGATCCCAGAATCAACATTCCCCTTCCCTGATGTTTCCCACTCAGGCGATCTGTTTACGGATTTCACAGCCGATGAAAGGATGAATGGGATGGAAAAGGACTTTTACCCCCTTGACGGTAAGGTGCCCGAGTCAATCAGCCAGGGTCCTGGCTTGAGTGTAGCGTATGAACTCCCTGGCCTGCGTGCCCCGCAGCCATGAAATAGTGGAGCTGGACCTCCAGGCTTCATCCACCCATGCGATAGTGCCCAAGAAGCATGTTGCAGCGTGTCTTCGTGCGAAGGTACCGAATACTTTGCCTGTAAATACTCGAAAGGGTGAAATGAGCTTAACCGTTGACGGCACCTGTCTCGGCAATTCCCAAGTCCCAAGTTGCGTGCGCAACGAATCCTTTGAGCTCAACCTTAGGGTGGACCGGTCCGTCAAGATGACCTATAAGGAACCTGGTATAACACTGGCTACAGCTGACGAATACTTGAAGCAAAGTACTACATATTTCGAAGCGTCGTGCAAGGTCAAGAATACAAGAGCCCATGCAGTCAACGATTTTGTATTGGATCAGGTGCCAGTCAATGTGGATGATCACTTTGATTTTGAGATTCTGACGCCCGAGACCTTGAAGGTTCCCGAGGATAAGGTGGATTTGACGGCGCCGGGAGTGTCGGGAAAGAAGACTGTGGAGCTGAGCGTGATGGAGAGATCAGATGGGAAGTGACACTTGGGCCCGTAGAAGAGATAGATTTCGATTTGAGATATTACGTCGAGGCGCCCTTTTAAGAATGGGGAAGGGACTTCCCTGTGCCTGTCGCGGAATGAGCTAATGTTCTTATCGCAAACCGACAGGTACAATACTGGGAAATTGACGACGGTAGGGGACATCAGCGGGATCTATGTTGTGTTTACTCATAGCCTCAGCAAAGATTCCACTTGAAAGGTTATTCTGTCCGGAAGTCCGGAAGATACCAACGTTACTCCAAATTAGACATGTCAATGTCAGTGAGAGAGGTCATCTAGTTTAAACATGATACACGTGATTTCCCTTAGTAGGCATGTCAAAATAAGTAGACAGGCTAAAAAGCTCTGGTGTAACTCTTTGGTAAAGGACGAAACCACGAGACCTTCCAGAGTCGGTAGGGGAAACGCAATCTAACAACGCTTGATGGGTCCAAGGCTGCATGTTGGTGGTAATAGGCGGTATACAACCACCTAGCGTACAGGACGCACTTTGCCTTCTGGATTGACCACGTTTCGGTGAAGCTACGTAGGTCTTCACGTCGTATACTTGACGGATGGTCTAAAAAATACTTATCTCAGCTTTTAGTACCGCAGGGTATGGTTGAGACATAATGAAGTGAACAATGTTAGTATCATAGCTTCAGCTGGATAATACTCTGCAATAAAGCAAGGGACTGACTTATCATTGTCCACTCAAATAGCGTTCCCCTATCGATATAATCTAGGAACGGAAACATGGACGTAGATCATGATGATCACATGACGCAGCTCTGTCTTCCGAATGAGGCAGAGTCGAAGGCGTCTACTATCTGACTCTCAGCTACAGTTAGTACTATTATTTAGTGACCGTTGATGTCCAGATCATGCCAAGATAACTACTATATTCAGTTACTTTGGTAGTAGCTCAGGAACGTGTGCAAGTTACTGCCATGGTTATCCAGTTTTAGCACCAAGCTCTGTCTTGGTGAGTGTACACACTATGAACCGTGATGTATAGTTAGCCTGTAGTATATACTACTAGTACTACTAACCAAACCACTTCACCCGACAATATATATCGTCTCCAGTACTACAAATTGAACAAACTACACTAACCCCCGGATATATCTTCCCCATCCTCCTTGTGGACCCCCAACATACCAAAGTGAAGCCACCCTCCATACCACAATATATATTATCCACATACCACACTCCAGGTGGCTAGCTATAGCATTCCACACCCACACAACCTCACCCAGATACTCCCCTACGCTCCGATTCGTCAAGGATCCCAGCTTATCTTCCGCACCACAAGCTACAATGTAAATCACCTACGTGCCGTACCAAGGAAATAACCGGCATGATGGCGGCCACCAGCCCGATACGTAGATAGCCGCCATACCTGCTTTGAGTTGTCATTCCAACTAAACCCAACTTGAATCCCGAGGTCCGGGACCTGCCGCTGACCCGACAGACTCGTGCCTTGATACCTGAGGCTGTGAGACCGTATCTCGGTCACGTATTCATGATACCGTAATAATACAGCCCGTACAGGTCCGATACACGGCGGCTCCATGCTCACTGCTTCGCTGCAGCCATCCATCGATCGATCCATCCCATATCCTCCGAGTCTGTCGGTATCACCAAAACTATACTTAATTTATGCATTTTTGTGTTCCCGTGGATACTACTGATCAGAGAGAAGTTATTGCTGCACATTACAACGCTACTCGGCCATAGTTGTTCAGAGATACTAGGATTCAACAACACCCCTGCTAGCCGAAGAACAGTTCGCGAACAGCTCGAGCCCCGTGGCATCCCTGCACCAGCTGCATGCTTAAATTGAGCCAGAACAAGTGAGCGCAAGGCAAGGCAAGGCACGGCCAGTTTGCGGCGACGGCGGCAGCGGTTCAGTCGGGAGGCCGGGTTACGTAATGCTGCAGGGCGGCTGAGATCATATCTCGATCACCGGTTTAAATCGAGTTTAGTGAGACCGACCTCGGAAATGGATAGGTTAGGAAAATTGGGGGGGAAGGGCCACACAAAAAATTAGCAAGAAATTAGGAGAAGAGTGAAAGAATTTTGCCCCGGAATCCTCTCCCTGATCCAGGTATAAGTAGCAGACGGATGTCTTCTTGGGAAGATGGGAAGAAAAACGGGCTGGCAGGTGAGCAAGAGGATAAAAATTACACAATGGGTTCCCGAAGGGATTCTCTTGGTGGAAAGGGGTGGTGGCCACGATAACAAGCAACAACACTGCAGGGAAAAACCGCGAGCAAGCCAGCCACTAGCGGCTGACTGTGTGGGATATGCTTTCGTCCGGTTTTCCAGAGGCCACGGGATGATGTCGATGGGAGGGATTGGGTTGGCTTGCGCCGCGCCGCCCACTTTTCTCCCCTATCCAGCTTGCGCCGCGCCGACCCCCCCCTGAGATTTGCTCCTTATTCCCCCGAGAGGGATCAATTTCTCTGATGTATCCAAAAAGCTATATAACCCGTGCACCACCCACGGAGACAAGCGCGCTGAGGCATTGGGGGAAGTCGTTTTTTTTTTTTCTACCATAGCGCCAGAGGTGTGTGGACTAACATTTCTGTGCTATTTGCGAGCTAGCTCAGGGAGCTACGGATCGTCGCGCGTTTCCCCGGCGAAAGGCGCTCCGTACGGAGCCGGGTTGTCCCAAAACGGCAGATACCCAATACGATGAGTCGGTGAGGCATTTCCCGAGGGAGCAGACCAGGAGCACAGCAACAGAACACAATTGGGGAAGCTTCCCTCCTTCCAGCCGACGCGGCGCAAACCTGCTTGCGTCTCAGAAGTGGGAATTTTCTTGCTCAGAAACTCCGGTGCTGGTGGAGCCGCATGCCCGATTCGGCCCGGTTTGATTGCGACCGAGAAGCTGGCCATCATATTAGCTGGGCCTTGGCTGCTTCCCATTGGCTTCCGGGACACCGCCAAGTGGGGGTGTACCACTCTATCGGACCCATTTGGATGCAGGGACCCACCCGCACGTCTGGTTTTTTCCCTTCTTTGCGGTCTCCCGTTTTGCTGTGAAAATTTTGCATACCGTAGCTGGTCTCTATTGCTTGTCTCTTGTCTTGTCCTGTCTTTTCCGGTCTGTTGCTGGGTTAGGTGGCCCGGTGTCAGAAGCGGAAGGGAGAAGGGGACAATTTATATGTAAGGAAAGAATGAAGGGAGGGACCCGTAGAGACAAGACAAGAATGTTTTTTTCTCTCCTTTTTGTGACGACACGAGGGAAAAAAGGAATTGAACGGAAGGGATCGGTTCATACAAGTGTAAAATACACACACGACTACGGAATAATCCCATCAGATGCAGCAATGGGTTATCTGAAGGGGAAGGAGATGTGTGAGTGAATGAGAGAGTAAGCCAATGCTCCATCGCGGACCAGCACGGTCAGGTGAAGACCCTGAAACCATTGGCTGTACCAGTAGTAACTCCCCTGGTTACCCCCATCCCGAGTGATCCCGAAGGGTGTGTATGTGTGTATGTGTACACAGTATGTGTAAGGAAGTGTGGTAAGTGTGTATGTGCGGTGGAATGCCCACTGCTTTCCCGGGGGAAGGAAAAAGGATGATGAGCCAAAAACGAGGCGCCAAACACGGTGTAAGGGAAAAAGAAGGGAAAGGATAAACTAGGGATAACGGATGATACCAAAGACAGACACAAACAGGAAAAACAGGAACAATACAATACAAACAAACGGTGCCAAAACACCAAACAAAAAAGTAGGTAGGGCTTTTTTTTCTGGTCCCAACAAAGCGCACTAACACCCGACGGGGGGGCTGGGTGGGAAAAGGGCAAAAAACCGCGAAAATTTAGCGGGAGAGTATTTATGTCCCGGGGGGCCTTCTGTTGTCACTTTTCCTCCAGCTTTTTCCTCCAGAAAAGTTCTCCTTCCTTCTTTCCCTTCCCAATCCCATCATTTTCTAGAGAAACTCCTCTCTCAGAACCACCACAAACCATCACAATGGCCTCCTCCCGTGTCTTCGCCCAGCGTCTGGCCTCCACCATGGCCGCGACCACCAAGGTCGCTCGCCCTGCCGCTCGCCTCCAGCTTGCCCCCAAGCGCACCTTCACCACCCAGCGCAAGGCCGTCCCCATGACCCCCTTCCAGACCGTCAAGCGTCAGTCTCCCTCCGGCCTCATCCAGGCCAACGCTCGCCAGGCTTTCGCTGCCCAGCAGGCCCGCCGCCAGTACTCCTCTGAAATCGCCGACGCCATGGTCCAGGTCTCCCAGAACCTGGGTATGGGTTCCGCTGCCATCGGTCTCGGTGGTGCCGGTATCGGTATCGGTCTCGTCTTCGGTGCCCTCCTCCTCTCCGTCTCCCGCAACCCTGCCCTCCGTGGTCAGCTCTTCTCCTACGCCATTCTTGGTTTCGCCTTCGTCGAGGCCATTGGTCTGTTCGACCTGATGGTTGCCATGATGTGCAAGTACGTTTAAATTATGACCGAGGGATGATTGCAGTCACGACATCTGCGGAGATTTTATGATCCACTCCAAACCTCCGATTGCAAACCATTACTATTTTGGAGAGATAAGGGGAATTTGGAGGAATATCAGCAAAATTCTTTGTTTTTGAGATTGTCATGGCTGTGATAGGAGGTAATTCTATTGTGGTGGTCTTTTTATATATCATGTACTACTTTTCCCGTCATCATCTACAACCATCAAATACACTGTACATATAGAGATTTAAAATGGCCACTAAACTCCACGGATTTGCCAGCTACATTTGATTGTAGAATTGGGACGTTATATCCACATCGATCTTGATGATTCTGCTGCTGTTCAAATCCTGCCAGTTTTGACCCATGAATGGGAAAAAACCTGGGGTAACGACAGTGCTCGGTCCAGCTAAGCTGGTCAGGTCAGATCTCTGAACCAATTATCATATGATCACGCTTTCAAGCTTGTCGGTCAGACTGAACAGCTAGACAAAGACCTGGTCTCTGAAGGCGTAAGGTGTGGTTGTCAGCCAGACAGGTACGAGCTTGATGCCAGCTGTCGACAACGAAACGGTTGTCCCGGAGTCTCCGGGGAGCTCTTCCCTCCCGGCTCCCTCCCAACAAAGGGCGATTACCGCCTTATAAACCAGCTTCCTCCTACTAACATCTAACTACACCATGACAGTCAATTGACCTAATTTCGAACCTAGAGAACGTCTAGAATAGTCTGTCACACTCCAATAAATACTCAATTAATGTTGGTAAAAAATCAGCCATCAACCAAACCCATTGTGGTCCATGGCACCCCCTTCACTCTCACCCGGTGGATCTAGACGGACGATCCCAAATGTAAACGTCACCCACCCTACCACCACCACCGCCTCAGCGACCCAAGGGCAAAATATATGTGATCAGTGGTAGAAGTGCGAACCTTTGCCAGACCTTTCTAAATCAATTGACTGCTATCTACTTCAGGGGGTTATGAAAGCAAGAATGAAAAAAAATTTTCATCTAAAAATTTGTCGTGCAGCTCTAATCCCTGCATGTGCATGAATCTCGACTCATAGTTAAGTAGAAAATAAGTACCTACAGCCAACCGACATGAAGAGCTGCCGTGCAACCCAGTTCTATCTATTCTAGCCGGCGGAAGGAAGTTGAAACTAACCCTGCGCCAAGAAAACATAGGTACCACTTTACGTATCATGTGTATCGGGGGTTTCGATTGATTTTCCCTGCGACGATCGGATCGGTAGACAGAACAGACAGACCTGACACACCTACTTAAGCACGGACACATAGCCATTGAGTGGGAAGTACCAGCCACAGAGTGTCAAGGAGGGCAGGGAAGTTATCTACGGAGGCAGATGGAGCAATGGTATAGGATGATTCCTTTCTGATGATGAATCATGGACTGCATGGGAGGGATGATGGATGTGGATGTGGATGTGATTCATCCATCCGTCTCCTTCGATCCGGAAGGGAGAACTCGGTAAGTAGGTAATTTATTACTGTCTTGGGTATGGTATGCATGGTTTGCGTATTACGGGGATGGGAGTTGCATGTGACCTGTCGGTATTTGGTAGACATGTGATCTCGGGTGAGTTGCCTCTCTGTTCCTTCTGGCTGTCGGTTGTTGAGTTAATGGTATACCGCATGTTTCTAATCTCCTTCTCTTTGAATTTCTTCTTCATGTTATTGTTATGTCTATGGTTTAGTTTAGATGAGAGCTGTCTGTATATATCTTCTCGATGAACTGAATTGAATCCATCCCGTTGTCTATACCACACCCACCATGCATATCTGTATATCCCGACACCCATACCCGACACGAATACATCCTATCCCGATCCTACCCGATTTTCATCCGGCAGGCCTCACTGCTATACCTGTATACCTACCATCATGCATCATAGACAACACCACTAACGCACAATCCCCAACCTCTATACCATTCCGAGAAGAACAGTCTTAGAGACCAACATCACATACATAGTATTCTATCGCACCAAGTAGTAAGAAGAAGAAAAATGCCCCCCTCACCCCTCTACACCCCCCAAGACGTCCCCTCCTTCAAGAAGCGTCGCAACCGTCTCCCCAACACCCGTGCAAAGCAACTCCTCCGTGCCGCAGAGCGTGACTACAACGATCCCCCTCCGCCGCCTGGACTGGGCGAGTGTTGCGGGAGTTCGTGTGATCCGTGCGTCAACGATCTGTGGAAGGAGGAGTTGGCTATTTGGAGGGAACGCTGGGGGGATGGAGCAGTTGAGGATGGAGGTAAGAAGGAGGATGATCAGGGAGATGAGAGCGAGGGGTGTGCGAAGATGAAGATGCCAGGGAGTTGGGAGTGGTAGGTTTCGCCTTTCGAGATGTCTGTTGTATGTGGTAGGGAAGGACTTGTGCCTGGACGGTGACATAAGTTGATGTTTGGTATGGTGAGTTAGTTCCTTCGACATATTCGATATTTGTATGCTAATATGTTATAGACGTACTGCATATTCGATGAGATGTGCCATGTGAGCTGGTGTTGAGCTCGTCGATGATATCACTTTCGCCGGTGCAGTTGACGGACTGTACTTGGCTTTGCTCTTAGAGAGATGTTCATGGATACACAAGCTATGCGTTAACATCTACTGCATATGCCTCCAGCCACATTGCTATTAGGTTGACACAGCTGCTGAGCAGCTCCCTCATGCCGGAGGAGCTGTTGTCTCCTGTGGCCAGTTTAGCTACTGGCACTACATCGACAGCAACGGGATCCGAAAGCACATGGCTGAGCTCATAGCAGACCGGGAATTAGGCAAGGCACATCTCGCGGCAACTGTACAAGCAATACGCGTGCTCTTTCTTCAGGGCACTTGACCCCTTGGTACCAAGGCAGTATCCGCGCCACATATCGCCGGCTCTCCGCCAAAGCAGGCGTCGAGAACCTCAGCGTGGCCATCCGATCCAGCGCTACAGCAGAAGATCTTCCAAACGCCAGCTTTGCTAGGTAGTAGGAATCTTACCTCAACATCGTGGGCGAAGACGCCCTCCTAAACGCTTGTCGACGCCATTACGCGTCACTCTTCACCGACCGGGCTATCAGGTACCGACAAGCAAAGGGCTTCAACCACCTTCGTATCTCTCTCTCCGTAGGCGTGCAGCGCATGATCCGCTCTGATGCCAGCGGCTTTGGGGCATATTCTCCATCGAAGCCGAGCCAGGCTTTGGCAAGGTCGTCATCATCACCGCCGCCTGAGGGCTAGGAGAGAATATCCTCAGGGCACCGTGGACTTAGATGAGTACCAAGTTTTCAAGCTGCTTCTCTCGGACGGCTACGTCGTCCCCATTACCCGCAAATAGCGCGACGACAAATCCATTATGGTGATCTACGGCAACAGCCAGGCGTCCACGCGAAACGCCCCAACCTCCCAAAGCCGAACGCTTCGCACTGGTCCTCGGCGACCCCGAACTCCTCCAACTCGCTCGATGGGTTTGCACCATCGAAACCGCCTGCAGCTGTCCCATGGACGTGGAATATGCCAAAGACAGCCTCACAAACGCATTGTTCATTGTCCAAGCCCGACCAGAAACCGTGCATTCGCGCCGCGATGCGACCGTCGCTTTTAATATGTACAACATCGACCACAAGGGCCGCACGCTAACCACTGGGCTGGCCGTAGGTGATGCCGCTCTCTCCGTTCGGCTCTGTCTAATCGAGCCTGCGTACGAAATGGACAAATTTATCAACGCCTGCGTTCTCGTCACCGCCACAACCGACCCGGATAGGGTGCCGATCATGGAGCGCGCTGCGGCGATCATCACTGACTACGGCGGCCGCACGTCCCATGCTGCCATAGTCGCAAACTCGGCGTTCCTGCCATCGTGGACGCCCGTGATGCCACCTACGTGCTGCATTCAAGGCAGGACGTGACAGTCTTATGCTCGTGAGGGGTCTGCGCAAGGGAGAGTATGGGCTGCAGATTATGTGATGTGTGAGATTCTGCCAAGTGCTGTCCTAGCGGAGCAGTTCGCGGCGCACTTTGATGGGTTCTTGATCTGGTCGACTGATCTCACGCAGCTGATATGGGGGAATGACCACGACTCGGATGAGTTGGGGGAGCTGTTCTATGAGCAGGGAGAGGCGACTAAGACGCTGGTTGCGCAGGTTGCTCGCGTGGCACGTAGGGCTGGCTGCAAGGTGGGCATCTGCGGATAGGCACCGAGTTATCATCCTGAGTTTGCGCGGTTCTTGGTTGAAGTAGGAATTGATTCGGTATCGGTAATTCCGGATAGTTTTGTGAATGTGAAAAGGCAGGTGGCGGCGAGTGAGCAGAAGCAGAATGGGGAGAAGCTGATAAATCTGATTTTTATGATTTGTGGTGACAGCAAGTGAATTCGATAGCTCACAGTCCGTTACTTATCTATGCTCACACCAGGATTCATACTTGGTCTTATTATGAAGAAAAAGTCAATAAATGCATAATTACACTGCTAAGCTACTTAGATCCCTACTACGACCCTCCAGCATCATTTACCCTAACCCTCTCCAACAAAATATTCAACCTCATAACTCCCGTTTCAACTGTCTCCTTCTCACTCTGTCCCAACTCCAACTTCACCTCCCTGACCACCCCCTCCCTCCCCACCACAACCGGCCACGAACAGCAACACCTATAATCCTCCCTCCAACAACTCACCGTCCAGACAGTCTTCTTATTATCCTCCAGCACCGCCACCGCAATCCCCCCGGCCACAGCTCCAATCCCCCACGGCGCGCCCCCTTTCCCAGCAACAATGGCCTTCAACCTGCCCCAAATCTTATTTTCTATCTCTATCCTCTTCTGAATCGCGATCCCATCCCTCCCTTGGGGAGTCATTAACCCGGACCACCCGACAACCTGGCTCTCACTGTCCCGCACACCGACCACATACCCCTCTGTTTCTTCCATCGTGGTACCCAGGAAGCGGGATACCTCGTCCTGTAGCCGTAGTGAGTCGATACAAGTCCCCACCCCGATAACTTGCTTTCTCGGCAGGCCTGCGATGTCTTGAGCGAGGGTGGTGAGAGTATCAACTGGGTTAGCGACGACCAATATAATAGCATTAGGGTTGAACGGCCGCATCTCGTTGAGTATGCTCTTCAGGATACTGAATTTGTGGTACAGGTGTTGGAGGGTGGTTTCTCCTATGCATTGGTATTAGCCACTGTTCTTGCTTCGCCCGTCCTCTTCAAACTTAGTCATTAAGTTCATTATGTCAAGAGGTAGAAGAATACCAGGAGTATAATTCACCCCCGCGGTAATGATCACCACATCTGCTTGACTTGCTTCCTGGTGCGTGGCCGCTTCGATCTTGGTCACGGAGCCGTAAACGAGCGCGGCATCAGCCAGATCGCGCACTTGTGCGTCCCGGAGACTGGATTTGATATCCACGAGGAGGAGGGTGCCTTGGATGCGCCGGTGGATTAGGGATAGGGCGGTTGAGGCGCCTACGGAGCCGAGGCCGATTAAGGCGATTGTTGCCATTCTCCTGATCCTCTTGTTCTTGTGTGGCTCATGTGTTAGAAACGCTGTGTAATTGTACTGGAAAGTGCAAGCAGGTCGGTCTACTTCAATAGCTATGTAAGCATAGCTATTTACGTAGTTATTTCCTGATGACGTGGGAGGGGATTAAAATTGGTGAGGGGAGCTCGTATTGCGGCGTCATGGTTACGGAGTGACTGCGAGTGGAAGGGTCCCGTGGATTATAGGGAGACGGGGATAAAGGATGCGATTAGGCCATGTTCAAGGATTCGTACCGTGGTTCATGTTCCTATTCCTTTAAGAAGTTGATTGAAGCCCGAATGTTGCCTAGAAACTATCACGTGTGCATGCCTTGGAAAGCAAGTTGATCCCATGTCCACCATACAAGATGTGAGAGCTAGATGCTGGTTGGCTGTTGGGAATTTATTAGCGTTTTAGCATAGAAGCTTATTATAATCAAAATAGATACGTTCCCTGTTGGATTGTTGACAGGTTACCTGCCACTGTTGTCTATCATCCAGAAGGTTGGTCATCATGCCAACCAAGGCCTAGCCCCTTTCATTTCCTCATTTCTTATACTGAAGCCATAATTCCAGTATTGATCCATGGACCATGCGATGGTTATATTCAACTGGGTATCCATTGCGCGTTCAATAACCGCAAGTTACTATTGAAACACCGACTGTAGGGTTCCAATGAACACTCGCAAGGCTGGCGGAGGCAGCTCCTGATTATGGTGGAAGGACTGAATCTCACTTCGCTTCGGAAGCATGATCCAGAAGAGGCCATATATGGGTCGTCTCTGGTTGGCGTTGTCTGCTTTCTCGATCGTTCTTTATCTTGGGCCGCTTTGCTTATAGTGCTTAGGTCTCGGCAAGACAAGTATGATTTCAAGCATATAGGTCATCCATAGTTTTCAAATGTCTGAGATCACTAAAGATAACTAAAAGTGCTCCATGGCCTGATGTAACCTAAAGATCGTGTGTTTGTTGATGACTGTGTAGTGATTAGTGTGGACATCAACATGCCCTGCTATTTTTGGTCATTTTTAGCGCTTCCGCCCGGGAGATAGTGGGTCCAGGTCCCCCAGCATGGGGTCTGTGCTTGCCCAAGTCTCATTTAGTCCCCAATTTCCCATAGTCATGTATGTACTGGACACGGATCTCACATCCGATGGCCTCATCGTGGAGGTCTCTAAGAACTTCGGTCAGCCGAATGTTCAGATTGAATCCTTGTAAACCATCAAATGTGCCGATACAGGTTTTGCCAGCCGCAAAAGTGATCGAAGGAGTGCACTCCACGTTATCAGCCAAACCACTATTACCCAATCCGCCTCTACGAGATTCTCAACGACAGGTACCAAATTACTGCCAAACTTGGTTGGGGTACTAGCTCAACGGCCTGGCTGGCTCGTGATCTGAATCAGTACGTTGTATTGTATCAACTAAATGTGTTTGTTATAGACTCAGACTAAGAACATGATAGATGGCGTTGGTGTTCAACACGCTACGTTGCAGTCAAATAAAGGTGAATAACTACGCAACTAAAGAGGATGCCGTGAGAGATCTTCGCATCACAGAAAAGATTACGCACGCAAACCCACAACATGTAGGCCGAGATTGTCAGCACATTGCTCGATTCCTTTGATGTGCCAGGCCCTCATGGTCTTCATGTCTGCATGGTATTCGACCCCTTATGTGAGCCTCTATGGATGCTCAAACAGCGATTCCATGACGATGTACTTCCATTGGATGTTCTCAAGCCCGTTGCTAAATTGATTCTGGAAGGCCTTGGCTACCTCCACTCTCAATGCCAGATTGTCCATACAGGTATTGTTTGTGATTACGTAGAAGGCAAGCTGTAGATTATCAATAACTCGCTAGACTTAAAACCCGACAATATTCTCATGGCTCTCCGAGACCACTCTATACTTGATAAAGTTTCTCAGGATGAGATCAAAGAACCACTGCCTCAAAAGCAACTTGAGGATCGAACAATATACCTTTCGAGAAATCACTTCGGCGTGGAGGCAAATGGTTCGGGCAGACCAGTGATTACTGATTTTGGACTGGCTGTAGATGGGTCTCGGGCCCATTACCATCCCATTCAACCGGACAGTTCCAGAGCCCCAGAGGTTATTCTTGGGGCAGGTTGGAGTTACAGTGCTGATATATGGAATTTAGCTGCTTTGGTATGACTTATACTTCGCTTCCCTGATATTCTAAATCGCTAATAATGAGCTAGCTTGTGGAACTAGTCCACGGAAGCGGCCCTTTTGATGAACCATCCTCTAATTCTTCTACCTTTACTGAGGAAGCTCATCTAGCTCGCATAATATCAGTACTCGGAACTTCACCTGTGGATATGCTTCGCGAAGCGAAATATAGTTCTCGATACTTTGACGCCGAAGGTAGTTAATCTTCACGGCTACCAATGTTTATTGAAACTTTACTCATTTTGACGCAGGGAGATTTAAGCATCCGGAATTGATATCAGAGAGCGGAGGACTTGAGAAGATTATTTCTAGCGTTGAAGGTGACAACAAGCAGGCTTTTCTTGATTTAGTATCACGAATGCTCCGGTGGCGAGCAGATGAGAGAGACACTGTGCAAGGGTTACTCTCGGATCCTTGGTTTCAGGGGTTGTAGGAAGCTGGTCTTCCCATTTTTCCACTTAATCTGAACTTATTGTGACGTAAGCGCGTAAACAGAAATTAATAGATACTAATTCATCAAGTAGCAAGAGCGATTTCACATATTTCATTTAGTTGACCGTTGCAAACTTGATACAAGCATCCGATATAATTATTGCCACACCCCACGATGTTTCCACACACCTTCACCAATGACATTGTCCCGGACATGCACAACTTGTGCCGTGACGCACTGCATAAACCCACCCCAGACTATCCCTCCGACTTTATCTCCGGCTTTATTCCACAACTTTAATCTCAGCCTTAGTCCCATTTTCATAATCTATCTCAACTCTCACTAAATTCCTTCTACAACACTACCAGCACGCATGTTCCTCTCCTCAGCAGAGAAAAAACGCCTACGGGACCGCCGCGCCCAACAGACCCTGCGCACCAAAAAGCAGCAATACACCGCGCAGCTGGAAGACAAAGTGGCGCATTGCGAGCGCTACCACGACGACAGCGGCACGCAGCATCTCCTACAAGTAATAGAGGGCCTGCAGCGAGAGAACCAACTACTCCGAAACCGCCAAGAAGGACTAAAGACGTTGATTACATCGTGGGAAGATCCATCGTCATCTCCACCGCATGTACTGCAACCACAACCACCGACGCAACTTCCACTCCCGCCTATCCAGTCACACACCACAACACCAAAACCATCATCATTATCACCCCCACAACCCAACAAAGAGGACCAACACCAACAACCCATATCACCTCTCTACTCCCTCCTCCCCCTGCACTCCGATCTCCCCACCACCCCCTCCCTCGTCTGGCTCACCCTCCCCCCATCCACTATCACCTCCTGCCCTCCCTCCCCACACCCCCTGGACCTCCTCTACGGCACCAACACCAACCCCCTCGCCAACGCCATCTACACCAGCTCCCTTCGTCGTCCCCTGCGCGACCCCGAACGTCTCGCCTTCGGCTGGCTCGGCTACCACTACAGCAAATGGCTCTTCAACCCCACCCCAGAGACATTCGCCAAGCTGCCAACCTTCATGCACCCCGTCGAGGAGCAGCTGCGTATTCCGCACCCCGCGTCGCTGGATATGCTTATTTGGCCTGAGATCCGGGTGACGCTGATCCGCGAGTGGGAGGTGTATTCGCGGCAGAGAGACGATTTGTTTGGGTTTCTGGCGTGTTGTCTGAAGGTGCGGTGGCCGTGGGGGGAGTCAATTTTAGAAAGGGATGAGCGGAATGAGTTGGTTATAAAGAAACGGTTCCACGAGATGATTATGTGTAAGGAGGGATGGGGGATAACGAGGGAATTTGTGGGTGTTTGGCCGGATGTTGTCAGAGGGGTGGATGTGGGGGAGGTGTTGATGGAGATTGGATAATCTCTAAGTCACTCTGTAGTAGTATCGTATGTTATATTGTTCATATTTCACATTAAGATATGCATGTATGTATGCACGGTACATCTATCATCTATATAACTTTTACTCCACCCATGCCAACTTTACTACACATTAAGAGAGACAAGAATAAAAAGGAGTGGTGTAGGGTATGAAACTAATCCAACCTCACAACCCACCTCTCGCGAATTGTCTGCCCATAGCGATTAAACAAAATCGGCACCGGCACAAACGCCAACGCCAAAAACCCCAGCAACGAGTTCCCCCACCCGAGCCCCAAACTACTGAAGAGCTTCGGCCCAGCAAGCGGCAACACCGAACCGACCAACGATCTCGTGGCCGTCAACGCGGCATTCGCACTCGCCGCATACGCCGGATAACAATCGATCACGTACATCTGAATCGGCATATATATGCCTATCATGCCGATGCCGAACGGCGCCATACCAATGATCGGCACGATCCACATAGCCTCGTACTTAGCGGACCAGCCGTACCAAAAGAAGCTGATAGGAAGGAAGCAGGCGAAGATGATCATGGTGGGGAGACGCATCTCGGGTTGGAAGACGCCGTTGTTGCGGGCGGTGAGTTTGATGACCATGCGGTCACTCGTCATTGCGACGGCGGCCATGCCGATGAAGAAGCCTACTCCGATACCTAGGTAGGAGAGGCCTGCAAGGCCGGTCGAGAAGCCGTAGACGCCTTCGAAGACGGTGGTGATGGTCGTGAAGAAGAGGTAGAGGAGGCCGTAGACGAAGGCCATGTAGACGGAGAGGAGGAGGACGATGGGGCTCTTGCAGATGAGGATGATGGGGCGGCGGAGGCCTTGCATTAGTGCTTGAGAGACGGTCGGGGGCGTGGTGCCTTGGGAGATGTCGTAGGCGCTGCGGAGCTCAGGACGGTTGAGTTCGCGTGCGAGCTTGGCTGTTTTCCAGCGGATTAGGACAGGGGCGTAAGTTTCGCGGTTGAGGAGCTCGATGCTGGCGCCGATGGTGCCGCTGGTGATGAGCAGGATCCAGAATACCCATCGCCAGCCGATGGTTTCGCCGATGAAGCCACCCGCAATGGGGCCAACGACGGGGCCGATTAAGGGGCCCATAGCCCAGATGGAGGTGGCCATGCCGCGCTGGGTGGTGGGAAAGAGGTCGGCGATGACACCGGCGCCGAGGGTGATGCAGCCCACGCCACCCATGCCGGCGAAGAGACGGAAGACAATCAGGCTGGAAAGGTTTGGGGCGAGGGCGCAGCCGATTTGCCAGACGACGAAGAACCAGTTTGCAACGCTTAAAGTGATGCGGCGGCCGTAGATTTCGCTAAGGGGGGCGAGGAAGAGGGGGCCGACCTGGGGTCATTAGTATGGGGATAGCTTTAGATGTGGGGAGGGATTGATGGTGTAGTGGGAAGCATACGGTATAGCCGAGGAGGAAGATGGTGACACTGAAGGAGAGGAGGGTTTCATTGGTGACGCGAAAGTCGGCGGCCACGTAGCTGATGGCGGGGGAGAACATGCTCGACGCCAGCGGCGAGATGAAGGTAAAGGAGCTCATCAGGGCGAGGAGCATCCATTTGCGTTTCGGAGAAAAGTTTTGCGGGTTGCTGGGGTCATCTTGACTGTCCCAGCCGATGATGCCCTTGTCGAGATCGGTTTCCGGGTAGAGGGCAGCAACGGTGGTGGTGCTGGAGGCGGGGGACTGGACTGGAGAAGATCGCTTCTCGGTTTGATCCTCAATATCGGGCATGGTGAGGATTGCAGTTGGGTTCTTCTGCACGAGGGGAAAGAGGGACTAGGGTGGAATTCGTGAAGAGGAATAATGGGCAGGTCATGGTGGATAGGGTGTATTTAAAATAGTCTGGACGGAGATAACGGCAAGCATAATTTTGCAGGATATAGTGTGCAAAGGAAAAGTGTTTGTAGGGAGTTGCAGAGCCGCAGGCATTGATGGCTAATCTGGTCGGACTTTGTTAGGGCATCCCTGGTCAGGGCGAGTCAGCGGGATATCAACAGCCACTTAACTTGTGGCAATAAACTAAAGATGGAGGCGCTGAATCAGTGGTGGGTCCGAGAGAGAGAAAATGCGGTGGAATTCGGGCTCCAGAACGTGGCAATCCACATAACCTTCCCGCGGTTGTGCAAGTTATGCACCCCGATGGAATAAGATCGAAATGAGTCTTTGTTATGAACTGCAGCCTTGGATAACATGATCAAGTAGCATGGTCCGTTCCCCCATGCTAATCATGCAGACATGACGTGTAACCCTACTGATAGCTACAATGCTTCTTGTCTGCTCACCGTGTCTTGTGTCAGCTTGGCTTATCCCCGGCGAGGCCGACCGATGCTGCCATCACCTGGCAATGCCAGCCGAAGGATCAGGAGTCAGCCAGTAACCCCTGGCGACCCAATCACCATCGCCAGCACAGACACGCCATGCCATCGAAATTGAAACTGTGATCCGCTATCAGGCTGAATGGTTTCTCATGTTGACACCACATGGCAGGGGTTGCACACCACGTCAAAATCTTCCGGTTTCACATGCTTTGCTTGCACATCCGAACTAAGGATAGCTTCATATTGCTCCACTGTCTGCCCAGCCCTGCCTCGGGATGCCGTAACAACAACCCGACTTTCTTCATCACAAGCCAGAACCCGAGCCGATAGCAATAAACATTTACTTAATATTCTCTTGGCGATTCTTGTCCACTGACAATGAGCTGATGTGGGTGATACACTTTGGATGTCTCTCATAAGGATGCACCATGTGGGTACTCGTCCCGATTGGTTCGCATCATCTCACCCGAGCACCAGTCCTGCGAGCACCGCGCGCATATGACTCCTTTGTTGTCAGTCAGGCCAAAGCTCTTATGATACAGCATACGGTCTGCCCAACACAAGCCTAACGAGGCTTGCACCTCGTCTGGATACGAGTTGGCTGTCTGTGCGCCAAAGCCAGATAAGCATTGGAGTCATGCCGGGAATTTCCGAATAATTGCATTAGATGTATGTTTGGCATAAGGTCGCTCTAGATTTACTGTGGTAGGCATAGTTGATAAGCGAACTGGTATGACTGTCTAAACATACGGTGAATTTCTGGCATGAAGCCGTAGTTACTAGGATAATGAATACGCGTCCTAACGATGATTCCTTTACGAATTGTTGAATAAGTCGACTGCAATATATTCACAATGACATTGACTACTAAGTATTGTCTACAGGAACGGGAATGCTGCAATGCACTGATGCATGCCCTTCACTCACTAGTCTGAATATATATATCCCTCCCCCTGTCCATCCGTCTTCTTCCTCTTCAAGCCTCTCCTTTATAGTATATAGTTCCCCTTTCTACTATATATATTACTCTCTAAACTACCTTGATATCTCCGAGAATCTGACTTTAATGAGTGACTAACTTCAAGAATATCGGTACCCGTTAAATCAAACATGCGCGCGAATACACCACAATCTGCAAAAAGCTAATCAGAAAATGATGAAGAAGCTTATGCACGCTATATCCCTTTCTTTATCTCTCGCAATACTGTTCCGTCGGGTGTTGGCAAAAGCAAGTCCGAGGAACGATGACCATCCCCAACTCTACCTGTCTGCTGCCGACTAGTATACAAACCTTTCCCTTTAATTATAACGAATCTGCGAGATCCAATATTCTCCATCCACTGGTCAGCAAAGAACACCAGGAAAAGGGATTCCTTGGACGGAATAAGTCGTGGACTGCCAGACTTCGCAAAGGAGATAATGTTCTCCTTCGGGTCCACAAATATCCCACTGCGTAAGCGTCCAGGTAGCGATGCTCTTCCATCATTTATGGAGATTGCTATCGACACACATCTATCGCACTCTGCATTCCCAAGGTTCGCGTGCTAGGGAAGAAAGATGACATCTATCGCCAGAAAAATCTAAATACAATGCTGGCATTACTTGCTAACTGCGACGCATATGTCTGGAAAGCATGACTACACGGCTAGAGGTCCTGAGCACTAGGTTTCCAGATATCCTACATGACTTTGTTGTCAATAATGACGCGTTTGGCAGACATATATGCTAGAGTGTGGAGAATCACGAAAGCTTTAGCCACAAACATCAGGATTGGAAGCGAGCATGAACCCTAAATAATATGCTCCGATACTGAGGTGCTATGATGAGCCGAACATAACCAGGCTCTATGCCTGCGGTGGTTGTCTCCTAACTCGAGTATTATATGACGAAAGCTATACGTTGAAGACACCCAATACATGAAACAGTTGAAGTTCTGTTAGCATGGACTTTCCACACTAGTGGATAATATGAGTTATGCCTACGATGAACAAGGAACGCTCTATGATTGACCACCTTCAGACATGCTTTTCAGTCTATCGAAATCGTTTTCCGCGGCGGCGAATATTTCTGTGGTCAACACTAGCGTGCTCTGAGCATGGTAGACATTGACATTTTGAGCTTCTTCGCCTACCCACCACCTTGCTTTCCGCCGCAGCCGCCAGGGTGTCTTCACTGTCACGGCCATTATTACCGTCGCCGCCGTTTTCCTCTACAATAGGAAAGCATGTCTATTTACCGCAGACAACTTCTTGATTCTACTCTATTTCTTCCTTCAATCTCTGGAAAATAGCGCCGGATTTCCCTACGCCGTAGGGGAAATAAATCCGTTCTGGATAACCCGGCACAATCTCAAAATTGCTCTACGGTCAACGGACTATGATGATGATGTAAAGCCTCGCCATCTACTTCATTGCATGAGGACCAAGTTTGTCAATAAAGGAGTACTATTGATCAACTTCAAAGGGTAAGCAGCCCTCTATCTGAGGGACTGCAAAATGAAGCACGGCTACACAATTTAGCGCTGGTTTCGCCGAAACCAGAGTCGAATTCCTCTCCTCGTTCCGAAGAGATATTTTGAACGATACGACGGTTGAAAATTAACAACTCATTCATATTGGAAATGTAAGGGCCCATGGAGGTTATTTCACGATAGATACCTTCCTTTACAAAGAGAATTCTATGCTATCTTAATGAAGGTGGAAAGGTACATCCACTATATAATATTCAGGTACCTTTGTACTCCACTATAGGGTTAATCCTAGCCTTATTAATGAATCAGTAAGTTTTGATATATCATATCCGCCTGATCTCTATCAACACTTCTATACTTTCTATTTCGTCTATGCAGGGGCTGACTTTACCTACATTAAGACTATATTCCAACAATAAATATACTAGAAAAACATGCTACAGTCAAGGCCTCTGAGAAGAGAGTAAGAATCAATCTGTTTAAGGAACAGTTCAACAGATTCCTAGATACCTTGGATTCAGCTAGTTACACGTGATTACTTAACTTCTGTGCAAGCAGATCCTCAGCTTAAAGAACTTCATCACGTATACAAGGATTTCTAGCTTGCTAGCAATTTGGTGAATTAAACAACATGACAGGCCTTAGAACAATAACGAGGACTGCGTGAGGACCGTGATAGCTTTGGCTTCGATTCTTTTCCTTATACTCCATCCTTGTATTCGTTCTAGCTAGCGTGTCTTCTACAAGTGTGCAACAGAGGAAAACAATAGATGTTTCTAGGGTACAGAAACTATGCACTACGCACCAACAAACAATCTTTCTCAAGCAGGGGAATATTCCTGGCCAGACCATTTTATATTTACCTTTGATTGCCATGCTGGGAATTCCAACAAGACCTATGATGGTGCTAGATGCAAACAAGGGTACTAGAGATGGAAAAAAAGATGTCTAATATTAGGCGCTGGAATACGCCGAGATATTCGTGAAGTATCTCGAATACGCAGAAGATGAACCTGCTCAACATAAACTGTGAGCGCTGCATATTCAGATTGATCATGGAGATAAGTGCGTCGTCGAAGGGAGAAAGGGATAACCCTGCAACCCTGAAACGAAGCATTTGGCTCAAGCAACTCTCGTTCCCCACAGCCCCCTTAGGGGCATTAGCATATGCAGCAGTTCTACATACAAAGAATATCTGGAATACAACTTAATAATGATAGTTCCAGAGTCGAATTTGAGCATGGAACATCACCCAGATGTTCAGCATGGATGTTTGGCAAAAGCTGGACCTAAGCATGGTGGCCTGTCCATGCAGATATTCCACAAGTTAGTCTGAAGAAACCACCTGATATTATCTGCAGGAGCCCATTGGCAGTACCAGCTTATCGAGCATCGTCTGAGTCGACCGAGAAAATGACAGCAGGCTGCACATGACTGAAAAAAGCAGGAATGATGACCGAAAAGACAACAAAAGTTCAACCCCGATCGCAGAGATGAGGCTGTAGCCTCCTTGATTATTCGTGGGGCCGAGTACTCGCCCAATGTGGTCGGAATCATAGCTGCAGTGGACGATGATGATCCGCTTGCGACCAATACCACCAATACGTGGTTTAACTACTGCCATCAGAGAGGGGGGCTGTTTACTGAATCCTTATGTTTAGTTGCTAAAACTGTACAGAAACCCTCAAGTTGACATCTGCACAACGACTACCGATGAACAAACTGCTCAAAGTCAAGTCAGCGCCAGTCGTAGCCCAGCAACGATGGCAGACTTCAGGCGCGCGATCCGCCAGTTCCGTGTGGCTGGCTGCAGAGGTGGTCAGGCAGCCCGCGACCCACTGTGTCTTCGTGCGCGTCTGGGATTCTCATTCGGGTATGTACGACATCTTCGGAATATAGATACGCAGCTAACCTAGTCATAGGCGTCGTTGAGACGATACCGTGCCCTGCTACGATGGGTCGTGGTGATCGAAGAACGCACTGAAGCTGGGTGTGCTGTTTGTCTGAATGTCGCTGAGGAGACCGGTCTGGCAACTGACAAGGAAGCCCAAATCCTGCACATCCAGCCTGTGGATATGATAAAGCTATAATGAACTAGCAACAGTCAGTTTGACAGGTTAAGCTTAATAAGGCTAACGTGTCTGATGCTCGCATAAGCCCTATTATTTTTTCCATGAGACTATATGACAAGCAAAAGGGCGAGAAACTGGAGTTTTACAGGGACTGGGCTTGGCTTAGGGAAGATTAAACATGGCCGGTTAAATGTGGAACTCTTTAGATTCTATTGCACCATCATTGACAGCTATCTACTTTCACACAGTCATATAAGCGCCTATAGACGAAGAAGGTCGACCAATACAGGCGGCGATTGGAGCTCGGTCAATCTTATAAAATTGCGATCTTCATACTGTTCCACAAGTCGGGTATTGACTATCATCAACGAGAGAAAATGTACCCAGTTTAACAGGCTATACAACCTACGCTCCAGTGGAGACCCTGCGAGGCAATTTCGAAGTACAGCTCGTCCGCGCGGCTGCTTCCTTACATGTTATCCTGGACGTACAGCGCCTGGCTGCCTCACCGTATGACAACAACACATTCCAAGGCCGTAAGGCCGCTCATACAACCTCCAAGATCAGACGCAGAGCCCCTCGCCTGCCACTCCATTAGTCTCCGCTTCATAGGTCCACACTATGAACGAGACTCTGACGGAAGCTGGACATCCCATAACTTATGATCAAAACAAAACATTCCCATGCGTAGGGTCATCTTACCCGACGACTGTGGATAGGAGAAATAAAGCCTGGTATTCAACGGGACTGTTCACAAGTCGATATAAGTACTCTGCCCCTGAGCCGTCCATGCACGAGATTCCCCCTACTGCTTTAACTGGATCTCCATTCTGCATCTTCCTGCCTCGATCTTTGATCCGAGGTACATCCGCCACGAGGGTGCCAGTAACCGTTTCAACCAACTCATTGTATCGTTCCATCGGCAGGTTCCAACCTCCCGTCATCAATGGTCAGTGGGCGTTATTCAACGCGACCGCGGTTGCTCCGTCCTTTAAAAAGAGGATTCATGATCCGAACGTGTCCGTCGTGGCGCCCGTAACACCGAGAACGTGGCTGAGAGGGTACCTTCGGACTTTCCAGAGGACGAGGAGGATTATACTGTCGAGGTACGTTCGCGCTCGATCTCGCCTGAACGTCGTCGTTCGAATCCGTGTCGGCAGGCTCTTGCGTCATCTCCGGTGGCTATAGTTAAGATTGTGGCCCTTACTTTGAGCTAATGAGCTGCCTCAAGGACTTGGAGTCATGATGCCCAGTGGTACTAATAACCAGAATAAGGAAACAGACTATGTACACAGTCCGCAGAATCCTGGCTTTGAGAGCCTTCTCATACCCTGCAATCTTATAGGTCGTAATCAGACTTCTCGACTCACATATTCTCGAGGGTAGGACCTGTTCACTTGAGTACTGGCCAATATCGCCATGGTTATTTCTGCATATAGATTGTAATATTGATATTAATATTATGCAAATGAAAACACGCCATTGCCTTCCCTTGTGATCTAGCAGAAGGTGCATGTACAATCACTCCTTCAGTTTATAAACAACTTCTTTCTAAGGGTCGCGAGGTGGCAAGGATACCTTTGCCATCAAACGGTCCCTTGCCATTTCAGGATCCCAGTCTAAATTTGAAGAAAGTCTTTCCTTTGCCTCCTGTAGCCAGGCTTTCCAAGCTTCCGTATCCGGTAATATACGCGACTTTCGGACCCATTTAACTTGGTGTGTTGAAGAAATTGCTTCCCACAGTGCGCGCGTTAAGTTCTTCTTATATGTATGTTTAAGTAGCGTGATTTTATAAATAGCGCTCAGATCCCAAAAACTTTTCTCATCGAACAACACGGGAACGGCCCAGTAACACAGGTTCAGCAAGATATAGGTAACGGCAATAGCCGTCTGCATTGTCCACCCACAGTTGCTGAAGAGGAGCACGGATACCATCAATAGAATGGTGCTGGTCCCCATCAGCATTTTGAAAACAGAACTCTCTGGCTTCCTGGCATAAAAATAGCTTTCTCGCTTTGCGTATAGTTCCTGGGCAATAGTCTCGGAACAATGCACGACCACAAAAGCACCGTTCTTGGTCCTGATAACAACATCGCCGGGCATTTTATCAAGGTCGGTTCTTCCTTCCCCAGTTTCTGGATTTGAGCGTTGCGAAAGGCATGCCAGACTGCTGGATATTGACATAGTGGTTATGGCTAGTAATCCAATACCATCGTGAATAAGGATTGACCAGACAGCCAAGCCGACTGTCAAGAGGACAGATGCCAAGGTCAAGATATTCATGACGCAGAACTGCTTGAGCCGTATTCTTATTCTTCTAGATTCATGACACTCTTCCAATTTGCGAATGTCGGCATCTGGTTCATAACTTTCCGAACGACAGATTTCATAGACACGACATTCGTATGGTTGCAGCTTATCTGTCTGATGTATCCTTTGGGCGACGTAACCTAGTTCGTCGTACATTGCTCCTGAATGTACACCAATGACAGACACATTTTTAAGCAGTGGTAGCTGCGTCGTCGAACCCATGTTCAAAATGGCTTGTGGCGCCGGTAAAAGACGAGGGAGGACGCTAAATGATGAAGCTACTATAATATGCTTCTGCCTCTCGATAATGGATTCTCCAATCACTGCCAGGAGACTGACGGCATCGAAATGCCAGCCTTTATCGGACGTGTCTCGGGCACCGGTAAACCAAGTCATGTCGGCTGTCACACGGTTAACGATACGTGTCAAGCTGTACGGGACCGTGTATGATGAAAAATGGAAAGAAAAGAACCAAATTAAGTTAAGAGAATTGTGCGAATACCAGAGATTACGATTCGATAGAGTATAATTGATGGAAGATTGGAAAAGATTGAACCTTTTATAAGCTCAAATTGAGTTGGCGGTGCTGAGGCTCAACCTGCATGGATGCCCAATATCTAGAGGCAGTGAGCTAAATTGCCTATAGTAGTGCGAGATTGCAGGCGTTCCTCGGGGATCCAGGACGGAGGTTGGGTGGGGTTAGCACCCAAAAAAAAGCAAACATGAGCAAAGCTGGAACCGAAACAGAGAACCATAAGAGATAATTGACAAGGCAAGATAAAGAGAGATAGAGGAGAATTTTGGACTTCCGATGGTGCAATACATTAATCTATATATCTAGCTAATCTATCATCTATCATTACCACCACATACCCATCTACCCTCTATCCCCAAATCTACTCCTTCCTTCCCAACTTCCCCCTCAGCCTCGCGCCAAACAAGTAAAACACATACGGAATGAACACCATCCCCACCCCAATAAATGCCAACAACCACGACGCCCACTGCAACCCCAACCGGTCATACATCTGGGTAATGAACAGCGGGAACGCCGCTCCTCCCCCGGATCTCAAGAAAACCTTCGCAGCCAGCGCCGAGGCCGCATACTTCTGATAACTATCAATGATGTAGTTATTGACCGCATAATAACACAGCACCATGCCAAACCCAAACGCAATTCCCGACGAGGCCGGCCCAACCCAGATGATATGTTTATAGGACGTAGCACCCAAAATAAACAGGGAGATAGGCACGAACGGCGCGCCAATCAGCGCACCAATGAGTCTATCTTCCGGGGTAGGCGAACGGGAGAGACATATCCGGTGGAAGTGCTTCTCGACGAGTGGAGTAAAGAGGAGGGAGAAGCCCGCGCCGATGAGAATAGGGATGAACATCAGACCGATCTGGCCGTCGTTGTAGTTGTACAGTTTTCCGAAGATGACCGGGTAGGCGAAGAAGAAGGCGTAGAGCATGCTGTAGATGAGCACGATGTACATGCACATGAGGTCGAGGACGGGTTCGGTGAGGATCATGGTGATAGGGCGGATGAGACTGGTGCGGATGATATCGTGCAGAGTGAGTTTGTGTTTCTCCTGCTCGGTGATGATGTTGGGGTTTCCGGTCTCTTTGCGGAGACGGGCGGCGCGGCGTTTCAAGATCACGGGGGCGTAGGTCTCTGGGATGAGACCGACGAGGATCATTACGGCGCCGCAGAAGGCCATGTTAGTCCAGAAGAAGAGATCGAGACGGTGGGAGCCGACGGTGATCCAGCCGCAGACTATGGGGCCGATGACGGGCCCGCAGTAGGGGGCTGCGGCGAAGAAGGCGATGGCCATGCCGCGGTCTTCGAGGTTCCAAATGTCGGCGATGGTGCCGCCGGCGAGAGAGAGGCCGGAGCTGGAGAAGACGCCGCAGAGGAAGCGGCAGACGAGGAGGCCGCCGATGTTGGGAGAGAGGGCGCAGGGGATGTTGAAGATGGTGTAGAGGGCAAGGGAGATGATGTAGACGGGACGGCGGCCGATGATCTCGGAGAGAGGCGACCAGAGGAGAGGGCCGACTGCGAAGCCGCAGACCATGATGGAGCAGGTGAGGGTCGCGACTTCGAGAGAAACGTGATATTTCTCTTCGATGAGGCCGAGGCCGCCGGTGACGATGGAGGAGCCGTAGGCAATGCAGACGACGAGAAGGGAGGCGATCATTGTGACGTACCAGCGGTACGTGCGGGACCAGTTGAAGGGGTTTTCGGGATCATTGATGGTGAAGGTCACGAATTCTGCTGGCTCTTTGGCTTTTTCGATGTCGGAGCTGGATGTGTGATGTGAGTATGTGCGGGAGCGCATCTGTTCGAGAGTTCTTTCGGGGACGAGGCCAGTGTTGGTCTCAACGGTGTATTCCTCTGGGAAGACGGGGTTTTCTTCTCGTCCGACATCGGGGTAGTTGTAGTCTGTTGGAGGTGCTTTTTCTGATATCCCGCGGTTCTCGAGGGATTGTCTTGTTTCTGTCCTGTATAGGGCACGATGGGACTGGCCGTTGGCCGGGTCTGGTGTTGATGACATGATGTGATTATGATTATGTCTAAGTAGTAAGGTAGATGTAGTAATCTATTGCTGTTGTGCTGATGCTGATGGTATCCAATGTTGGAACTGTAGGGCTTTATATACTTCAGTTGATGATGCCATACATACGGCAGGCCGACCCATCTCCGATGCCGAGCTATCGCCGGTGCCGCCATTGGGCTGATACAGTTTTACGGACCTGATAAACAGGTTAGCTACAATCAAAGTGAGAAATTTTCTTTTTCTTCATTCTCTTACAATGACTCAGAACTTTCAAGTGACTGTATAGCTAACTAGTCAGGGGCAACCCAGATAATCGAGATTGCATCTGTGATACTGGAGCCGCAGCTGTGCCTGTCACACCACAGCTGAACTGCCCGGGCATCTTCACAAACACTGTTTCACAACACAACAGAGAACACAACAGGGAACTTCTCCGGAAATTATGAATTGGGATTGCGTTGTCGAGTAACTGCATACAAGCAGTTGTACGACCACATCCAATGTTCCACGGCACGAAGCTCCGAGTCAAACTTCACTGCAGGAACACTATTGCATCGAAACACGTCATCTGGCAGCTAATAGAAAAATCTGCAGTTCCATCAGATCAACCAGGGTCGAGACGGGATGCTTAATCGCGCAACAAGCAGATCCTGGTTACAGCATTCCAGAATGTGGCTGATAACCAACTTGCGTCAATCGGCATCTCGGAGATGGCTCGGTGCCGAGTAATCCCCGACGGGCCAGCCCATAGACAGACTGACCAAACTCGAGAAAACTCCGAACAGAATCCTGCAACCAGCGAAAACCGGCCTAGATATGAGTATATAACTGGTTGAACCTGAAACCGGGAATTGAACTACGGGCCGAATACATCCTATTATCGGCATGCCACTACAATTAGGCCGATGGCCCAAGTTGTGGGCGGTTATAGCACGTTATCTACTAGTTAGTGGATACTAGTTACCAAATTATATAGAAATATCGAATTGACCATATAAATAATGGTAACCCCCCTAGATCGTTTAAAAGTGATATATAAGTATGTAAATACATACTCAATATTTCCTCCTAATCATAGCAAGTAGTAGCTAATAATCCTGTTCCTGTATTGACTCGGATCTATCACTTTTATATTATTACTCGCTATGATCATGACAAGATAGGCTTCTCGCGTGCGAAATGATATATCATATTGGAACGATGCCTGATCTCAGGGGTTCTTTTCCTACGAGAAATGTGTGTTAGCCTACCTACGTAGGGGAAGAGGTATCTTATGCTTGGATTCCATCACAGCAATTTAAACCTTAATTAGAAGATGCGGACCAGTGATAACAATTCGAGCCCCCACTAAAGCCAACGCCCCAACCATCAAAGCAGCTCCAGCCCAGAGTTGGGCGGGTAAATAACTATCATGCTCAGACTGCGCAATCAAAGCGCCCGCCACCGAAGGTCCCGTCAAGGGCCCGAAGCTGATCATGGCAAGTGCCATTCCCACCCGAGTGCCTATCTTATCCAGGTCCTTCGTCAAAGATGGCACCGTGCCAGCAAAAAGACCCATGGCTGCCGCGGAAGCAAGACCATAAAACACCGCGAAGATATACAAGCCAGCGACATTGTGAACGCCCGCCCAACAGAACATCAAAACCCCGCATATGCTGACCCACGGGATCAAGCAGTTCAGTGGCCCTAGGTACCGATCCGCGAGATATCCACAAGGTGCCCGGATTGGAATTCCGAGTGCATTGATCACGATAACTAGATTGACGCCTGCGCGGGCGGAAAGACCTAGTCGGTCGGTCGCGTAAACTTGGATCTGGGTTTTGTTGGTTTTTTTCTGTTTGGTGGGTTGACTGAGGAGAGGATGGCTCGGGGGAATGAGACGGGGTGGGATGTGCGACATACATAGAAGAACGCGAAATAGAGGGTCCAGTAGAGGAGAAAAACCCCAAAGGTGAAAAGCATATAAGCTGGCTCGGTGAATGCCCCCCATTCAATCAGGGGACCAGACTTGCGTGGAGGCAGTCGAGGGCGTAGTAGGGCAAGGATAATCAAGAGCATGACAAAGACGACTAGACCCATGCACCGGACAGCCCACGGAAAACCTTCCAAAGAGGAGGAGGATCAGGATGGAGTCCGGATGGATCACGTCAACAGATTACATGGTGGTCTCACCTATCCTTGGAGACAGGAACTGGATCATAGCTGGAAAGATAATCCCCCCTGTGCTGGTTCCGGTGGCAGCAGCCGTGACGGCGAACACACGGCGTCGGACAAAGTACGTGGAAACGAGAGTCACACTAGGCAACCACATAACTCCCTGGCCGATACCAATGCAGAGCCCCTGGGAGAGAAATAGTTGCCAATAGACCCTTGCTAGGCTGGTCATGAAGGTTCCAAGTAACAACAAAAATGCGCCAATGCCGACGACAAGCCGAGCTTGTCCGGCATCCGTCGCGCGCCCGGAGAGAGGGGACATGAATAGGAGACAGAAGACCTGGAAGCCACCGATCCACGAAATATCGGACGAGGTTTGCGGTAGAGTGACTTCATAATGGTCTTGGAAGACGCCGAAGCTGGCTGCATAGCCCCATGTTACCGCAACCACTAAGTGGCCGGAGACTACTTGGGCCCAGGCGTGAAATCCACCGTCGGGAGGGGGTGGGAGTGTGCCAGCGGTGGACATTTATTGAGTGTTTTAGATTCTGTTCTAGTTTTAGAAACGAACATGGAGTATGCGTTAAAAAGAAAATAGTACAATTCAGTAGAATGGAGTAGTGGCTAGGAACGAGAACATAGCAGCAGGGCGAATTTATTATTTGAAGTCACTCCATGTATCATAACGAATGGTTGCTTATAAATTATCCAGTCTAGCTGCATGCAACTGTGCCGCATCCCAATATAATGGTCTAAGATGTCTTGTGTGAGACTGAGTAGTGAATTTTGATTAGCGGACTATTTGTCCAGGAAAATCCACGCTTGGGGAGCAAAAGAAATGCCATCCAGACTAGCTGACTTTCAAAATAAAAAAGCATCATAGCATGTGCCTGAGCTGGGGCCAATTTCCGATGTACTTGGGGGGTTTAGCGGCAAGGACATGATCCGTGCGAGATTGTTAGTTACTACTGCTTATAACGATCCATTTTCAGAGTAACCGCGCGATCCAGACGATATACAGCGGTAATGAGCCGCCAACCAATGGATTCATAAGATGCCCAGAGCTCGGCATCTACAACCAATCAATCACGCACTCTCCTCGGGGGGTCAACTGGGGACATAGTAGTAGTAAGACCGAAGAGTTCCCTTCGGGCGTCGTGGTTCGTACGCCAGCCCGGCCTTGTACCGCAGCACGCCATAGTGCCTTTCCAGGCCACAGCCTCAGCCAAATAAGCGTCGGCCACTTCAAATGTGGGAAACGGGTGCCCACTGAGTGGGCTAGACTCATGGCGTGCCGAGCATCTTTCCGGGCTAATTCAGCTGAAACCAAGGGGTCTTTTTTAAGGTGTCATTTGTTCAAGATTTTGACATAAAACATCTCACGACCGTCTCTACGCACCTCTTCAGGCCCCTATGTATACAGCTTTTCATTCCTACGCCCACAACCTAACCTAACCTCTCACACCCACCCAAACAATCGGTCAATGAAACCGACTAATCACTAGCCTGATACTTAGCCCTATACTCCTCCAACCGCTTCATATCGGCCTCATTGCCCTTCGCCTGCATCAACTTGATCAAATCATCCAGAGTAACAATACTCGTCGTGGGCACACCATACTCCTTACGGATCTGACCCATAGCACTCATTCTGGGCTTATCGTCCTCGACACCGTTCTCGTCCTTGGGTCCGGGCATCTTCTCCAAGCGGTCCAGAGCAACAGTGAATCCGACGACCTTGCCGCCCTCCTTGGCGACCAGGTTGAGGGTCTCACGCATGGCGGTACCGGCCGTGATGACATCGTCGATCACAAGCACGGTCTTGCCCTTCAGAGCGGCGCCGACAATGTTGCCGCCTTCGCCGTGATCCTTGGCTTCTTTGCGGTTGTAGCTGTAGGACACGCTGCCCCAGGTGGCGGGGTCGATGCGGTTGAGTTCAAGGAGGGTGGCGCACGCGAGGGGGATGCCTTTGTATGCGGGGCTGTTTAGGGGGTTTTTGTTAGTTATTTATGGGTTGTTGAGTGGAAGTGGGGTATTGGGGAAAGAGGGGGTTTTTACCCGAAGATGACGTCGGGCTTGGGGATGGAAGGGTTCTCAGCGAGGAAGGTGATGATGGTGTGGGCGTATGCGGTGGAGAGG